GACTTTAGTGAGGTAAACTTCATCGTATTCACATTTCCAAAAAGGACCTCAAGCCCTGAGGTTTATGTTAATCACCAAATAGTTCAGAGGAACTGACCATTCAGACTGGATACCTGAACACAGGTATGCCATTGGCCCCAACATTCCCACAATGGCCTCATCATCCTGTGCAATTATTTACAATGGCAAGAATAAGGGTTCTGGAAATAAATTCCTATATTTATTTAGGGCATACAGTGGTATTTGGGCAATCTTTCAAACAATAACAAAATTACATTTGCCTTTCACGTGGGGAGGACGTCCCAAGATGTTGGACAGAGTTTTGGCCCCGAGCTGGGGGTCGGGGTGGGTGGAGGGCAGGGATGAAGTAGGGAGATCAAAAGCATAGTTGAGAGGAGTGTCTTGAGATGGGTCTAAAGGAGGCAAGGGAGGGGACGAGGCGGAGGGATTGCGAGATGGAGTTCCAGAGAGCGGGGGCAGACTGGCAGAAGGCCCACCCACCAATAGTGCGGCAAGCTAGGTGGGGACGTGAAGCAGGCCTCAGCCCGCTGAGTGGAGGGAGCGATTAGGATGGTAAGGGGTTAGGAAGTCGCAGAGGTAGGGGGAGCAAGACCGTGGAGGGCTTTGAAGGTAAGGACCAGGATCTTGAACTGTATCCTCGGTGTGATGGGAGTCAGGCGAGAATGGGGGTGATAGGGTCACAGAGCCTGGTGCAGGAGAGGACACGGGCTGCAGGGTTCTTGATGATCTATGGAGGGAGGAGTTGGGGAGGCCGACAAGCAACAAATTTGCGTAGTTGAGCCTCTATGTAATGAAGGCGTGTATGAGGGTTTTGGCGGCCTGTGGTGTGAGACAGTGGCAGAGCCGGGCGACTTTGCGGAGGTGGGGGAAGGCAGAGCAGGTCATGGCGCAGATGTGGAGTAGAAAGGATAGTTGAGGGCCAAACAAGATTTCAAGGTTCCGGACTGGCTCAGTGGAGTGTGCAACCATGGATGGTGATGCTGTCAGTGCCTGAGGTGTGGAGGCGCTGACGGGAGCCAATCAGGAAAGTCTCGGTGTTGTTGAGGTTCAACTGAAGAAAATTAGCTCTCTGTCAGCACAGCAGTGGTCCCGTAGTCAAAGGTGGAAGCAAAGAGGTATAGTCGGGTGTCATCTGCAAACATGTTGACCCCATGTCTGCGGATGATGTCACCAAGAGGGACCATGGATATTGAAGAGGAGGGAACCAAGGACAGAGCCCTGAGGAACGTCACACCAGATGGTGCGGGGGCTAGAGGAGACACCGTTTGTGGAGATGAAGTGGAGGCGGTGTGAGAGGTACGATCGGACAGAGCCGTGAAGGTTGAGGTGAAATAAATTGATATCTTTCTGTATCCTTCAATCAAAAGGAAAAGTTTCTCATCATATTGCATCTCCTACAAAATTTAAACTCTGTAAAAGAAAGTAATTTTCTCCTTGCGTGGAACTTCTGTCAGACAGGATATGAGGATTGCACCACTTGTTTTAACAAAGATTGATTAGCCATTTGCTGTATATTTTTATCCGCTCTCCTGCTCTTCACTTTTGTAATGCCCGACAGCGAATACGGATGCTTGAACAATCCATATACAGCCAATCATACCAGTTATTTTTGCTGAGAGTTGCCAAACTATTTTTACTGCCACCAATGTGTGAGCCTTCGAGCATGGCAACTTGTGAGGGCAGGAGAGGGAAGAAGAGACACAGAGAAGGTTACAGATCACCAACTGATAAATGTAAAGGATTAAAAAGCTAAGTGAACAATAAAAGCAAGAACAAATAGAAAGGGGGATTAAGGCTGGAGAGAAAAAATAGAAATATAAAATAAACAATAAAAACAGTAGGAATATGAACAAAACTCTTTAGTCTTCAGGACATGATACAAGACACAGATTTGAGAGTAATAAGGAAACAATTGCTGAAATTGTCAACACTGTGTGGCAGCAGTAAAGAAAGCAAACAGGACCTTGTGGTGATTAGGGGATGCTGCACAAGTCATGGGAAGTGACACAGAACTTATACAGGCCACAAAACACACTTCAGAGCAATGTGTACAATTGGCACCTGGGTATTGGTTTTGGACCATTAGATAAATAGCTGGAATTAGGCATCCGAGTTATGAAATGCTACAGACGCTGAGAATGTTCACACAAAAGCTTAGTGGAGATTGTATTCAAGCATTCACATCTTAAAGAGTATAGATAAACTGAACCTCACTGATATGTTTAACAAGGCCAAAACATCTAGAGCAAGAGGGAAGGTGATCAGACAATTCAGATTGAATTATTTTACACAGAGCTTCGTGAATATGTAGAATAAACTGACAGAGGCGGTGGAGGCAGATTGTCAACAAATTCAAGAGGAAATTAGATAGTTACACAATTAATGGCAAGTTACATTGACTCCAGAGGAGATTCTCATCTGAAATTAGGCCTTAAATACATTACTAGCTGAGATTTTTTTGGTCAGCCGGGTACCTGACACAGGCAAAAACTCATCACCATGCTTAAAAGTCTCCAAACAAAGCTACTGATAATTCCACATATATTCCACATCTTGTTTGGAGTGGGAACACCCCCTCCACGAGAGATGCACTCTGCTTACTTGGAGGGTTCAGGTACCGTTTGGCAAGAAGAAATGCTTGAGGACACAAGATGATACTTTGAGGCAGTACTGGGATTAACCCACTAAAACTGCAGGTTACCACAGAGAGCACTGGCAAGCTTCCCACTGCTTATCCAGTCCGGACTACTCATTAATGTTTTGGCTTGTACGGTTTACTGTAAAATTAGTTTATTTTGCATCTCTGGCATGTTTCAATTGTTCGACAAGTTCTTAACCCAGTGATTTGGGAGGGGTAATATTTTATTCAACAGTAAAGATTGCATTCGCCATTAAAATGGGAGCGATCCTGTTACACACTGCCACATTCGTTAAATGGATGGATAGCAGAATTTCATTCTATAGGCATCCAAAGTAAAAAGTGTTCCTCTCCCCATCTCTGCCATTTATAAAATTACTTAAGACTGTTATAGCACAAAAAAGGGCCATTCAGACCAACTCATCCACACCGGTGTTTGTATTGCACATGAGCTTTCACCCATCATAAATGCCTTTTGAATATCCCTTTATTCTCTTCATATAAGCATCAAGCTTCTTTTTAAATTCATTGGTTGATATCTGTATCTTTTCTTGATGAATACAAAAAAAGTAGAATTATGTTAAAATTAAGAAAAACTTTAAAGTTATATGCTTGAATTAAAAACAAAAGGGTTAAGACAAGTTTACCAATGACTGATGTGAAGAATTTACCGAATCTATAGGATTGTGGAAAATGATTCCTTTGGCCCATCATATCTCTGCTGCATACCCGATTGAGCCATCTTCTTTATTCACATTCCCTCCCTTGCTCTTTCTTCATATCTTTTAATATTTTTCCCTCAAATATTTATCCAATTCTCTTTTAAATGCTATTATAAACTCAACTCCATTACCATTTATGGTAAATGGGATTCCACATTCTACCAACCCTACTTAAGAATATTAAAAAAATTCACCTTTTCTTCTGGTGACTATCCCCAATTTACATCTCCGTTATAGACTTGTACATTGGTGTAAATATTCTTTTTTAACTTGTCAAAACTGTTCATAATATTGAAAACTAAATCGCAGACAAAATATAGAAGTATTGAGGTATAGAGTGCAGCTGAGCAAAAACATTGGTTGAAAGTAAAATACGACAGCCAATGTGGTATACAAACACACTCATCACAGAGAAGTACACTTTACACTCACAATTCTGATAGACAAGGTCCATGTAGAGATGACCTTTCCTAGGGAAAAATACCAATAAACCAGGCGGCGAGTCATTTCATGCTATTCCAATACTACCACCTTCAGGTAACCTAGGGCAAGTGCCTTGAGTGGTTTCTCAGGCAGAGGATGATCCATAGCTTGTGTTGTGTGTTTATGGACAGGAAGTTTACAAGAGATGGTAAACATAATAACAGCAGCTTTATTTGCATATCAGCACATGACCATGGATTGGCTTTGTTGAAAAACAATTTCATTCACCTTCCCTGAGACAAGTATTCTCCAAGCACTAACACGTTTATTTTTACAAATTTATTTGGGGCAACCAACAGTAAAATAGTAAACACATTTAAAAGCTATGGGAAACAGCCCACATTTGCTACTCTCACTGAGAGCAGAAAGGGAGGGTTTTAGGCAAAGTGGTGAAAAGATAAAATGAACACATCAGTATTTGATGGAACCTACACACCATTGTCTTCAATTTTCATAACAAAAACATAAAAAAGGTCTTTTTTGTGTGCTGGAGGAGAAACAATCTGCGCATTTTATAGTCTTCTTGAAATTAAACTGGTAATCTAGATTGATGAGTTCCTGCTAATTAAAGGCAATGGACTAAGCGCGAGGAAAATTATGTGTTATTGGAACCTGTAAAAGTTGAAATTGTTAAAAAACACAAGAAAGGCAGTGAGACCAAAAACTGGAAACAAAAGAAAAAAGTCTTAACTATCTATTTTGCTGTTTTTGATGTTCCTTGGCTGTGGTCTCCTACACTCCTGTAGAAGTGATTTCTATTCAAAAATCAGAAACCACCTACCTGGAAACTTGTTAGCGGAGTAAACATACTTTATAATTTCTAAATTTCTTTACAGTTCAAATGAGAGGTGGTATTATTCTATTTTGACTGCAATAGAGAAAAACAGTTCAGAATTTCACCACAAATGAAGTTGCCACCACAAATGAAGCAAACCTTCCAGAGCATTGAATATCAAAGCTTTCCTCCTCCTGACAAACTGTTTGAAGAATTTCAAGGCTAGTGAATCATTGTTATTTGGCTCATTTGCAAGTAGGAAAAGCTGAATATAATGAAAATGAAACTCTTTTCATCACCTAGCAGAGGTCATATAGAGAAAAATATATGTATAACATATACATTCTTGTATTTGTCTTACCTGATGGTCCTTCAGTAAACACTGATAATGTCTGCCCACCAACACTCTGCATTGTAAACGGATGGTCTCTGGGTGCACTTATTGATCCACTTTTTCCTCCTGTGGTCTGGATATTTGCAAGCTCTTCATTCAAAGTAAAGGAAACCTGAAGAATAAAACATTCAACTTAGCTACCAACAACTTCACAGAATTAGCAACACCAGAAACAAAGTTAACAATTTTCGCTCCCCCACCCCTCCCAATGCAACTAGATTCTGAATGTTAGAAGACTATTCAATTGCTGTGCGGGGGGGATAAATCTAAACTCAATGCTGTTCTCACCCAATCCCTTTTCATCAAGAGAGAGAAGCTGGAATAGGATCAGCAGTGGGAAACCTGACTGTTTTTCCTCTCTCTGGCCCAAGAACACTAGACCAAATAAAGTACGCTACTGCCACTATGGTAGAGATCAATTGATTAAAGAAAACAGTGTATCAAACCTGGAACATTTCTGCTCTGTGTGGCTCAGTTACATAGTAAACAATGATGAACCACATCTTCCCTTTGGTATATGCCTCTGATACTGGTCTGGCCTCCTCTTCCTGGGGCAGTTGCACAGGCACCGGTTGCCTTTGGGAATCCTGCCCAAGTTTTCATTGTTCACATGTGAATTTCGGCCGTCCATACAGTTTGTAAAGGATATCACAGCCGAGCCTGACTTCTCGCCACCTAGTTGCCACATATGCACACAACCAGTCGAGGGTGTCATAGAGGAATTATGATCAAGACCTGGGTGGCTTTCCCTTCCCTGACGCTGGGAAGGCAAGGACCTACTCAGCCGAATTAGCAAACTCAGCACAGACTGGATTTCTAATCAGCAAAATCTTGGTCTATAAGCTGCAGATCTATTTAGTACAACACCAGATTTCATCCGTCGTCAACTGTTAAAATTATTTCACTCCGCCATTCTGGTTATCCTCAAACCTTGCCCCATTCATTGACAACCTCCTGTTATGTGTCTGATAATCCCACTCTGGAGTCAGCAATATTAAATAATCTTTGGGGGCAACCATCATGGGTGATTCTTATAAATATTTTCTAAAATTTCATAGGAAATTAAAGAATGAAATCCGAAACACCAGTGGTTACTCTGTAACAAACACTGGAAATACCTAGTTTCCACGTCAGAAAATTAGCAACATTTCAAAACAATGAACCTAGTGGGTCAATTCTAAATGCATTACACAGCTTAAAACAGAACTACGCAGTCCAAGACAATCCCTGTCCAATACTGAATTAGCTGACTGCAGTCTGGGTAGTACAGAGAAACCCTGTTATGATATTCCTTGGTTCAGCTCTGCCTCGCTTATAGTGCAGATCAACTGTAGGTGAGTGCTAACCGGAAGCATGTTTTAAAAAAAGCACTTACAGATCACTCTGCCAATGCTGCCAATTTCGTGATTTGAACATATACGTGAAGCAAGCATCACTGACGTCACTTGTTGTGTGCTGTGCATACCCCTGATGTCACTAAGCAAATTCTCATCATTAATGATTCTTGCATAAAGCGCACATGTGCAGCATGCAGGATGCAAGCTTATGACATGGCGCCTGAGCTATTAGACCCAGAGCACTGTGTGATACTAAGGTTTACCTATAGGAGGACAGTTAAAATTGGCTCCAGCTACAGAAAGTGAAACAAACAGTCAGTCAGGTTCCGGTTCCTGATGGAACAACCTCTACTGGAACATGAGGAAGTGTGGACATTGTGCTAGAAGCTGCGATTCCTCCCCATCTCACCACATTTCAAATATTTGCTGTCGAGACTGACACGAGATAAGGTACCAGAAGAGCTGCCAGGGTCATTGGAATACGCTCACCACCCTCAACTTCAGTAAAAAAAAGAAATTATCCACTAAGCGTTCGCATTAAGTCCTATGTGTCGAGAATGAACATGATGTGGCATTTCATTACTGATCACAGAGACATAATTACCAATAATGTATAAACAGTAGCATCATGAGATTTAATATTGAGCACAAACTTAGATCTCAAATAACATCTTATGTCTTTCAAATTCTTTGACAACAGAATGGGAAATATTTCCGATACAAATTAAATTCAAGGTTTAGAATAGCAGTATTTAACCTCTTCAAATATCTATATGCTCCCTCTTGGTGACATCACCCACAGATATGGGATCAACTTCCACATGCATGCGGATGACACCCAACTTTACCTCTCTGCCTCCACCCTTGACTCCAGGACCACTACTATCCTGACTGAATGTCTGTCGGACATCAAGTCCTGGATGAGAGCTAACTTTCTTCAGTTGAACGTCAACAAGACCGAGGCTCTCTTGATTGGCTCCCGTCAAGGCCTCCTCAACTCAGGCGCTGACAGCATCACCATCCATGGTGACACCTGGATTCAATTCCAGGCAGGGTGAAACCTTGGGCAAGTTTCCTTACTCCACACGCCTAATAATAATCCCTCCAAAACCAAAAAAAAATAAATTGGTAATTTTCAATCCACGACAGCTTGTGGGACACTGCTGTGCGCAATTGGCTGCCACGTTTCGCCCACAAATATACAGTCAATTCACTTTACAGCATATTCTGTAAAGCACTTTGAGACATCTAGAAGACTTGTAAAGTGCTATATCAAATGCAAGGATTATTATTATTATCCATAGTTGCACACTCCACCTTGCTAAGCCAGTCTGGAACCTTGGGGTCTTGTTTTACCCTCAACTATCCTTTCTACCCCACATCTGCACCATGACCTGCTCTGCCTTCTCCCACCTCCGCAAAGTCACCCGGCTCCACATCTGTCTCACTTCGCAGGCTGCCAAAACCCTCATACACGCCTTCATTACATTGAGGCTTGACTATGCAAACTCACCACTTGTCGGCCTCCCCAACTCCTCCCTCCACAGGCTGCAGATCATCCAGGACTCTGCAGCCATGTCCTCTCCCACATAAAGCTCCGCAACCCTATGACCCCCATCCTTGCCCAACTCCACTGGCTTCCCATCACACAAAGGATACAGTTCAAGATCCTGGTCCTCACCTTCAAAGCCCTCTACAGTCTTGCTCCCCACTCCCTCTGTGACCTCTTAACCCCCTACTATCCTGTTCGCTCCCTCTGCTCAGCGGGCTCCGGCCTGCTTCACGCCCTTGCCTCGCTTGCCCCACTATTGGCGGGCGGGCCTTCCGCCACTCTGCCCCACCATCTGGAACGCCATCTTGCAGTCCCTCCGCTTTGCCCCTCCTTCAAGACCCATCGCAAGACCCTCCTCTTCGACAGTGCTTTCGATCTCCCTCCTTGTAGGTATGTACTTTCCAATTTACCACTTCTTCCTTTTTGTGATTCTCTTACCTCAGTTTTCCCTTGATTCCTATAAAAAAAGCAGACAGAATACACAGATTAGTTAATAATTCCTGGTTTGCCTTTCCTTACAGTACAATTAGTCTCAGTTATGTAGAAAATAAATGGGTCATTTACTTGGCTATCTGTATCTTTCCCACTTCACCTCTTCCCGTTGCCTTAGTCCATTGCTGTGAAAGGTACTTAGGAACCTACAAAAAAAGTATAGTTTAATAATTTTAGTATCATTTTAACAGACAGACAATTAATTGTACACCTCTTTGCAATAGTTGTATTAATCATCTCCTAATTCAAAACATAGTCTTATTCTTCACCATAGGTGACTTATCAGCTGCATTGAATTACACCTGCGCATGGCAGATCAGTGATTAAGTCGGATTTTATATAACTTATACAAGTTTGCCCCCAACTCAGACTTTGGATAAGTCATATTAAATGTTACGGTCCCGACTGATACAACTTATGTGAGTTCTAAGGAGAGTGGGGTCTGGGAGGGGGAGTGGGGTCTGGGAGGGGGAGTGGGGTCTGGGAGGGGGAGTGGGGTCTGGGAGGGGGAGTGGGGTCTGGGAGGGGGAGTGGGGTCTGGGAGGGGGAGTGGGGTCTGGGAGGGGGAGTGGGGTCTGGGAGGGGGAGTGGGGTCTGGGGGGGGAGTGGGGTCGGGGGGGGAGTGGGGTCGGTGGTGGGGAGTGGGGTCGGTGGGGTCGGTGTGAGTGGGGGAGGGGTAGTGGGGTCGGTGTGTGGGGGGGGAGTGGGGTCGGTGGGGGGGGTGTGAGGTGGGGGGGGAGTGGGGTCGGTGGGGGGGGGTGGGGTGGGGGGGAGTGTGAGGTGGGGGGGAGTGGGGTGGGGGGGGGAGTGTGAGGTGGGGGGGAGTGGGGTGGGGGTGGGGGGGGGGAGTGTGAGGTGGGGGGGGGAGTGGGGGGTGGGGGTGGGGGGAGTGTGAGGTGGGGGGGGAGTGGGGTGGGGGGGGGGGGAGTGTGAGGTGGGGGGGGAGTGGGGTGGGGGGGGGGAGTGTGAGGTGGGGGGGAGTGGGGTGGGGGGGGGGAGTGTGAGGTGGGGGGAGTGGGGTGGGGGGGGAGTGGGGTGGGGTGGGGGGGGGGGGGAGTGGGGTCGGTGTGAGGTGGGAGGGGGAGTGGGGTCGGTGGGGGGGGGGGGGAGTGGGGTCGGTGTGAGGTGGTGGGGGGGGGGAGTGGGGTCGGTGTGAGGTGGTGGGGGGGAGTGGGGTCGGTGTGACGTGGTGGGGGGGAGTGGGGTCGGTGTGACGTGTGGGGGGGAGTGGGGTCGGTGTGAGGTGGTGGGGGGGGAGTGGGGTCGGGGGGGGGGGGGAGTGGGTCGGGGGGGGGGGGAGTGGGGTCGGTGTGAGGTGGTGGGGGGGGAGTGGGGTCGGTGTGTGGGGGGGGAGTGGGGTCGGTGTGTGGGGGGAGTGGGGTCGGTGTGTGGGGGGAGTGGGGTCGGGGGGGGGGAGTGGGTTCGGTGTGGATGGTGGGGAGGGGGAGTGGGGTCGGGGGGGAGTGGGGTCTGTGGGGGGGAGTGGGGTCGGTGTGTGGGGGGGAGTGGGGTCGGTGGGGGGAGTGCCGGTGTGAGGCGGGGGGGGAGTGGGGGGGGGGGTGCCGGTGTGTGGGGGGTGGTGCGGTGTGGGGGGAGTGCCGGTGTGAGGTGGGTGGTGGTGTCGGTGTGGGGGGGTGGTGTCGGTGGGGGGAGTGTCGGTGTGGGGGGGAGTGCCGGTGTGTGGGGGGAGTGCCGGTGTGAGGTGGGTGGTGGTGTCGGTGGGGGGGGGAGTGCCGGTGTGTGGGGGGTGGTGGTGTCGGTGGGGGTGAGTGCCTGGTGGCGGGGCCTCACTTTGACCAGCCAGACGCCGGTGTTGAGTTTGACTCCGGTTAAATCCAGTTCCCCTTTCTCCGCCATGGCGCCGTCACAGCCTCGTCCCGCCCGCGCCCCGACCCCTCCACTCGCTTCTCACCGGAAGCTCAGGCCGAGCGGCCGCATCGCCGCCATGTTACCGCCCCCCTCCCCCGCTACCGGGGCCGACACCTGACAAACCGGCGGCGCCGCTTCCCTCGCCTCCGCACTCAGCAAAAAACGCGTTTGGTTATTTCGAAACTTCTTCCAAATCTCAGTTTCCTCCTCCTGCGTTTTTTTTCTCTACGTTTATCCCCAGTGAAAAACCGGTCACCTTCTCCGCCTTATAGACAGTTCTATGATGGAGGTTGAGTTTCTCCAGGTTTCCTGCCGATCCGCGATCGTGGGAAACTGCTCTGCGCTGCCGCGTTTCGCCCCCAAAACAAGAACACTATTAGATTTGTTGAGCGCCTTTCACGTTGGGGAGGACGTCCCGAGGCGATGGACAGTCAGTGTCTCGGACCCGAACTGGGGGTCAGGGTTGGGGAGGGTGGAGAGCGGAGTGGGGGGGGGGGGGGGGAGGCAGGGAGATCGAAAGTGCGATCGAAGAGGAGGATCTTGAGATGGGTCTTGGCGGAGGCGAGAGAGGGGGCGAGGCGGAGAGACTGCGGGATGGAGTTCCAGAGGGTGGAGACAGAGTGGCAAATGGTGGGGCGAGCGAGGCGGGGGACGTGGAGTAGGCTGGAGACCGTTGAGTGGAGGGAGCGGGCAGGCTGGTAAAGGGTTAGGAGGTCGCAGAGGTAGGGGGGGAGCAAGACCATGGAGGGCTTTGAGGGTGAGGACCAGGATCTTGAACTGTATCCTCTGTATGATGGGAAGCCAGTGAAGTTGGGTGAGGATGATAGGGGTGATCGGGCTGCGGAGCCTGGTGCAGGAGAGGACACGCGCTGCAGAGTTCTGGATGATCTGCAGCCTATGGAGGAGGAGTCGGGAAGGCCGACAAACAGGGAGTTTGCATGGTCAAGCCTGGATGTTATGAATGCATGTATGAGGGTCTTGACAGCCTGCGATGTGAGACAGTGGCGGGGGTGGGGGAAGACAGAGTGGGCATGGCACAGATGTGGGGTAGAAAGGATTGTTGAGGATCAAATAAGACGCCATGGTTCTGGACTGGCTCGGTGAGATGGAGTGTGTATCCTTGGATGGTGATGCTGTCAGCACCTGAGGTGTGGAGGCGCTGACAAGAGCCAATCAGGAGGGTCTTGGTCTTGTTGACGTTCAACTGTAGAAAGTTAGCTCTCATCCAGGACGATGTCTGACAGACATTCTGTCAGGACAGCAGTGGTCCTGGGGTGAAGGGTGAAGGCAGAGAGATAGAGCTGGGTGTCATCCGCATATATGTATATCTCATGTCTGCAGATAATGTTGCCAAGAGGGAGCATATAGGTATTGAAGAGGAAGGGAACAAGGACAGAGCCTTGAGGAACGCCACACGAGACGGTGTGGGGGTTAGAGGAGAAACCGTTTGTGGAGATGGAGTGGAGGCGGTGTGAGAGGTACGATCTGAACCAGTCAAGGACAGAGCCATGAAGGTTGAGGTGATAATGGTAGGGCAGAGGCGGCTGAGCAGATTCCTTTGACTTTGGTTTTTAGGGTCCAGCATCTCCTTGCAGTTGGCGTTGGAGGAGAGGATGGGCGAGGCATGAGAGGATGGGCAGAAGAACCGATTGGTAATGGAGAAGCCTGGGTTTGTTCTTGGCCTCGAAGATTGTCTTGGGAGTAGAAGGACAATTTAGCAGAGGCGAGTGGTAAATTTTGATAAGGTCCAGCCAGATCTGCCAATGGATTAAATTAGATTTGAGCCAGGTGCATTCAGCAGCATGCACCTGTACCTTGAGGGAGTGGATGTGGCTGTTGTACCAGGGTGACTTCCATGAGTAGGAGGAGGTTCGGGCAGCGAGGGGAGCAAGGGCATTAAGAGTGGTGGAGAGGGAGTTGTGGAGGAGAATGACAGAGGAGGATAGGTCATTGTGGGAGGAAGCTCAGAGGTGGAGGAATTTGGATGACTCTGGAGAAGGGTGTGGGGGAGCGTGGAGAGAGTTTTTTTGCAGGGGCAGTAGGAGATGGAGGTGGCTTCGGTGGTGGTGGGGAGAGGGATTGAGGAGTTAAGGGAGATGGTGAGGTCCAAGACAGTGAGGTGACAGTCAAGGGGTGTGACCGTGGACATGGGTGGCGGAGTAGATGTGGAGGGAGAGATTGAGGGAGGAGGGAAAAGTCAGCAGAAATAGAGCAGGAGGGGGTGAAGTGAAGTTTGAAGTCGCCTCGGCTGAGGAGGTGTTCAGAGCCATACAGCCAGTTGACCTTACAGTATATTCTATGAAGCGCTTTGAGATGTCTCAACATCATGACAAGGTACTATATCAAATGCAAGTATTATTATTATTTGCAAATATGACACAAGACAATATGAGATAATTCCATTCAACCTATCAATATTGCTTCTTCCTGCAGCCCATGTGGCTTGTTTTTTGTCATGATGTCTCTCCGACTTAATCTTCTGAGAAAGGTAACTTAGCAGGGAAAAAAAGCATTCGGGGGGAAAAAAAATCCATTCAATTTCTCCCAGAGTTCCAAAAGTGAGTGAAAACTGATAAGACACTCACCTAACATTCCAGTCTGCCCGAAATTGAGGAGTGGTTACAATCCATGGGTGAGCAGTGCCTTCAGTAGAAAGTCAAAATTGCATGATGTGGTGAGGCACAATATCAAATGCAAGATTATTATTACTATTATTATTAAACAATTCACAAAAGAAAATGATCATTCACTTCAAGACTGTTTGAAGAGGCAGACAAGATCAAGGTTTAACTTTTCATCCAAAGGACAGCAACTCAGACACTGCACTCCCTCCCCCAAATGTATTGGAGTATCAACTTACATTATGTGAGTTCAAGTCCCAAGTTGGAGCTTGAATATTCTGATCTAGAGGCGGAAGTGCTACCATTGAGCCAGATTTAATTTTCTTGCAGTTTTTTTCAATATGGATATCAAATTTCAATATTCCTGAGATTACATTGGATTAGGTTTCCAGATTAGTTGGAAATATGGAATCAAAAAGGGAATATTGCTACATTTATTTTCGGATTGTGTTTTGTTCAGCCTTTCTGGAGAAACTACATTAAGCAGTTATTAACAAGGTGTATTCCTCCATTTAAAATGTTAAGGTGTTCTTAACAGCCTTCATTTCTGGGTGGACCAAATTTTCTCCTTTCCAGACACTCAACCTCACCGCATCCAGTGGAACACCAATCATGTGCAAAACAGCCCATCAGCAAACTGTTCAGCACTACAACACAGCCCTGTGTCCACTTATCCCCAGCAGAGGTCACTGTATACCAGGCAGAAGTGAAACCCCTGAAGTATTCCCCTCCATACCTCAGAGGCCAATGCAATCACCTCATTTCTGTGCCAACCCTCGAAAAGCAAGTCATCTCATAGGCTGGGAATCAAGCCTAGTTTGAAGATATTTCCATTGCAAGCTATGAATATGATAGGTGTCACATACACAGCCTAGCGCAGGGTAGCACTTCAGCTTCTGAGTCAGCAGGTTGTGGGCTCAAGCCCCACGTCGGGGAGTAGAATCACATTGTCTAAGCTGGCGGGTTGCATTGTCGGAGGTGCCGTGCTTCAGCGCCTTGGGACATCCCTCCCGACATGAAAGGCGCTCTATAAGTGTAATTTATCGTCGTCGTTGTTGGATGAGACATTAAACCGAGGTCATTTCTGTCTATTCAGGTGGATGTTAGAGATCCCATGACACTATTCAAAAGGAGAAGGGAGTTTCTCCCGGTGTCCTGGCCAACAAATCCCCAAAAATAATTGGCCGTGGCTGTTTGTGGTACATTGTTTTTCACAAAATGGTTGCCATGTTTCGCCCACAAAAAAGTCAGAACCACTTTACAGTACATCCTCTGAAGCACTTTTGAGACTTCGACAACGTGATGCTATATCAAATGGATTATTATTATTATCTTATACTGGTATAGGATTGGGGTGGCTTGTTAGTTCAGAGCAGTATAAGGAGATGCATGCTTCAGCTTTCATCTCAACACATGACAAAAATTTGTACAGCCAATAAAGGTTGCTTGAATTGTAATCACTGACCAAAAAGACGCAGAACTATTTAGGCAAAACAGATTTACCTTTACTTAGATTCATCAAAATTGTTAAAACAGGAACAAAGAATTTGGTGCCTCCTACAACAACAGTTTTTACCTTACAATAGAGAAATATTACAGCAATGTTAACTAACTACAGAATGTCTGCAGTTACGATAAAACCACATCTTTTTTCAGCAGTTACGTTTTACAGAAACATGTTGCTTTTTCCATGTGAAAACCTGGTGTTCAGCTCTCTAGATTTCTTGATTAAGGCTTTTTTTTGGGCCTCATCAAACTGATGAACCTGGAGATCCTGATCCCGATCAAATGCTCGTCGTTCCTGGGGTTTCTCCTCTTCGCTCGCTTTTCTCTTCAACTTTTTACTGTGCATGTCAAGTAACGATTCAGATCTTTTGGTCTCCTTTCAACAACAAAACACTTGGTCAGTTTCATTAAAAAAATGACAAATTTCTTTATGAGAATAGGCATTTCCCAGGACACAAAACCTATTCCATTCTTAAGTTATGTAATGTAAAAGTGCCACTCAGCAGAAGAATGGGTCGGGTGAAATATATAATGGTTAATATTAGGGCTTGATACTTGTTAATCTAAGATACTGTATGAAAATATCTCTTACAAATATATAATGTGGCCCATTGAGACAGCAACTAGGGTCCATAAAATGCCAATCTTCCTTATAACGGGGCCACGACAGCTAGTCGGCACTTCCACATTCAGGGCACACAAGCACAGCCGTTCACTCTTGCACACCGGTCAGCTCCCGCACTAAAAAAAAGTGCACATTCCTGTACACGCGCAGTGTACAGGAAGTCACGGGCAGCAACATGATGACACAGATGTCAGATTTGTTTTTTTTAGCGTAAAACAAAGCAGCCGGCAGCACACATACACAGTGAATGCTACAATCGTGCTACAAGCAAACCTGTGTTATAACTGTGGTTCTACTATAATACATTAAGATGCTGTGTCCCAATTTTAAAAAATAATTTCAAAGGAAAAACTAATTTAGCTCATTTGAGATCCATAAAAAATGCTTACAATCATAAAACAGAAGCTTACATTGTACACTGCTACTTCCTTAGCCATTCTTTTGTCCCTGTCTGAGAGAAAAACACTCTCAGGTTCTTTCGTAGGCAAGTCCTTTGATTGTACCATTTCCTGAAAGAAGAAAACAGAAAATATGGATTACGACAGTCAATTACTCAAGAGTAATTATCAGGAAAGGTCATGAATCCTACAAGGCTGTGGTACAGATTTGAATACGGACAAAGAAAACCCAGATATTAATCTATTGATTACAGTTCAACCTGCTCTAGGTTGAATGACCTACATAAAACCTGTTCTAGGTGAAATTTACCTAATTCCAGACAAAGCAAAATTTGCACCTGTAAGTGGCAAACATACATGGAACTCTCAATCTGCTCTGAATACCTTTAAGCATTGTGATCGGTTTCCGCGTGTGTCAGACACACCCGGGTAACCAACTAAAAGAGATTAAATGACTCAATGCATCTTAACCAGCACAGTAATTAAGTAAATTACACAGTAAATAATAGCTGATTCTGAAGGTTCAGACCCAAAACACGAGCCTGCTTTTCTCTTTCACATGCAGTTTGATCTGCTCAGCTGTGAATTTCTAGCTGTGGCTATTTTATGTAACATTTGTGCTGAGCGAGTGCATCTTCAACTTTGATTGACTATTTCAGAACAAACTGCTCCCTTCTTCCAGTGTCTGATTTGCTTTTGAGCCAGGCTGGCATCTGTCATCAGCAGGGGCCTGGAGTACTGCAGGCCCACCTCCCTCAGGAACCGGATTACCAAACTACCATGGAGGGTTGACTCGAGAAAGGTTCGATATTAAATTCAAGGATTATTTGTTACTTTATTTGCATTCCAAAAGATGAGTTCATACAGTATTAGCAAACTGTAAATACAATTGTGAGCATATTTCTGCTGATCTGATAATATGGCTACAGGCTACATGATTTAGAAAAATCACTGGACTATTGTTTCTCTGGGGTGGTGCGGCAAGTGAAGGGTTTTTTCTCTACACCTTACTTTAATCACACGTATTCTGCTTCTTTTGTCCTAATCTTTGATTTATAATGGGCAAATCGGCAAGAACACCATTTCCAGGTCTTTCCTTTCTTAAACTTCTGTACAAACCAATGCACTGACTTGCACAGCCAGTCCTAAAGAGACGACCCCCTGAAGCTGTTTTGACTCAAAACCAGAGCAGGGGCAGGAGGGAGGGAGTGGGGCAGGGAACTCCATGACTCTCACCCCAGCAACTAAAGAGACGCTACTATCCAATTTATAGATTGAAAGATTTATAACAAACTAGCTCAGGAAGGGTTGGCTGGCATTGTATTTACAATTGTGTTCTTCCCACTATGTTTCATAAGAATCATTTTCTGAAACCAATTGTAGCAATGAAACAGTAACAAATTACTCAAAATCTACCTTATCTTTTTCTTTTTTTTCCTTGTCAGCTGGAGTGTCTGTCCATATAGATCGGTCACGGGATCCTTCGTCTGAACGTTTCTTAAAGGTTCTGGCACCCAGACCAATGTTTTGTAATTCTGGTGGAAGTTCAGTCATCCAAGACTCTCTGGTCTCCTTCTTGCCTTCATTCTTGTTACAAATAATACAATTCAGTAAGATTAGCAAACTGTACAAGTTTTCTTAAAATAGAGAAATGTTCCTTTACACAAAAAACAAAGTATTCTGCATCACAAAAGATCACTAACTAATAACTGTTAAAGGATGGTACAGTGGAGGCTTGTTTTAAGGTTGTAGTTGGGATTCATAAAATCCACATTCATAAAATCCCAACCGGTCTTTAACAAGGCCAATACATGTAGCCGGCTGAGAAAATGACCAATTGCTGTCATCAAATTGCCGCTCACATCACTTCCTGTATGCTGGAAGTCACGTCAGTGGCGACCTAATAACCGGGGAGTCATTTTTAACGTGCGGAAAAGGCCAGCGTGCGGGAACCAAGTGAGATGGCTGCAGGCATATTCAATAATAATCTTTGCATCCTTGCACTGGATATAGCGCCTTATCACGTCTTCCAAGATGTCTCAAAGCACTTCACAGAATATACTGTAAAGTGAATTGACTGTATATTTTGTGGGCGAAATGCAGAAGCCAATTGCGCACAGCAATGTCCCACAAACAGTCGTGGATTTTAAGAGACCAATTTATCAATTTTTTATAAAAGAATTATTGCCCCCAGAAAAGCAATTCGCCAATTGACTAACAACCGGGTTTCTACTTACTGCTGGGTAAATAGAGGTTTCTGGGATAAGGAAACTTGTCCAACATTTCACCCTGCCAGGAATCAAACCCAGGTCTCTTGCTTGCGAGGCGAGTGCTCTAACCACTGAGCTACAGGACTCCTGTGAATGGGGTCAACACCCCATTTGTTTTATAACTGAATCAGCACAATATAACGGGACTACTAAGCAAAATTGATAATGCACATCATAAACAAATTAATCTAAACTTTCTAGAATCGAAGACTGGCATAGCTATTATAAAATGATCTCATTGGCTTACTGTGTTCCCAGAAATAAGTCTTTCTTTCATTTTTTTAGCTCGCAGTTCAATCTCCATTGCTATATTGGATTCATTTGGTCCCATTGAAGGCATTGGGCCAATTACATTCTCGTCTTCACGTTCATTTTCTGTTGGCTGAAACACAGAAGAAATTTGTGAGCCACAAGTTTAACTTTGAACATTTACTGCTTCTATTCACTTCAGTTTGGGGTCCTGAGTGTTAAAAGTTGGAATATATTATCCTAGATTATGACTGCTTGTATTCCACAGAGTAACTTTAAAATAAGGAATGTCTTTAGTAATTCACAGAATGGTTTACTGATTTATAACATTAGTGAGAAAAAGTCTTTCAAATTTGAATCTCGGCACAGAGCAGAACTTTTAAAACTACATTACAAGGGAAAATTGCAGTCACTGGAAATTCACTTGAGGTCATTTTAAGTTTTTCTAAAAACAGTTTTGAGTATTTGTTTTCTTCTAGCCTGCAGTGTACAGTATTGCACATTACATGCATCACAAACGTTAAAAGTGTTTTTTAAAACTCGAATGAATATTAGGATCCAGTGTACCACTAATCTTAATACAGTACATCTTACATTTATACAGCACCTTTCACATTGGAAGGAAATCTCAAAGCACTTGACACTGCTGGATGGGCACCCAAGCTGGGGGTTGGAACTGAACAGGGTAGGGAGGGGAAAGATGACCAAAGGTGCGGTCAAACAGGTACATCATAAGCAGCGAGCTCCTTAATAGCAACTGGTCGCAAATAACAACTCCTGCCATTAATGTGAAGTGCATTGCACTGACTTGGAGAAACTCCACTCAAACCTAATATAGCTCTGATTACCAGTGTTCCCAGGGGTCACTGTAACCCCTTGCTCCCACCATCCATATAAGATGTTTTTTNGAAAGAATTAAGATTATAATTAAAATAAGTCTTATAACGAGATGTTCTTGACATTGTACTGGTCAGACAGCTGTAACTATGTATTTACGGCAGAAATATATCAAAGTGAGGGTTTTACCATATAGCAACTGACAGTACAATACTGAACATGATGAATATTCTTGTGATTTATTTCCTACTTACCAACCTACTTAAGCTGGGCGACACTGCTGGTGCAGTTAGAGATTCATAGCTTATTTCCTCCTCTGGCTTTCTGAAACCAGGTGGCAATGCAGGTCCTATAAAAGGCCTAAAAGGTTTTAAATGAAAAAAATCAGTACAGTAAAAAATAAATGTTGCTCAATTAATTGGTCTATATTGTTCATTTATTTCCAATAAGGCCAGAGGCACCAGTATTGGAGTGGACTCTCTCAGCTCAAAGCACAGACCTTCTTACACATTTCAAGGCACTTGTTAGTTTTCACTTTAGTCACTTTACAAATACAGCAGAAAACCTTTCCCCAAATAGGCAAAAAAAAGTGAGACAATGACAAATGTCAAGGAGACAAGTTTTTCTCCCTCCTCTCCTAAAAGTATTGGCTCTTGGGGTACGATTCTAAAAATGTCACTCTTGGATAACTCACCTCCAACGACCTGTCTTAATGTCTAACCACGGACCGTGTTGGCAGAGAATACATTGTGAAAGGTATCACAGCTGAGCTGGACCCCATTCTCTCCCCAACATCAAGGCAATGGATAGGCTACAAGGAGATGCATAGGCAGCATTGATGATACCAGGAATGAGAGACTTTACAAACAAGGAGAGATATCAAAGATGAAAAGCTTTACTTCCGAGAGACTGGAAGAATTGGACTGTTTTCCTTAGAACAGAGAAGATTGAGAGGAGACCTGATAGGGGTGTTTAAAGTTATGAGGAGTTATGATAAAATAGGGAGAAATTATATTCATTAGTCGGTGACTAGAAGGCATAGATTTAGGTAACTACCAAAAGAGCAAAGGGAGAGGTTTGAGAATTTAATTCTACCTAGGAGGCTGTTAAGACATTGAATGCCGTGTCTCGAACAGTGGTTGAGGCAGAATCCATATTAGCTTTTAAGAGGGAATTAAACATTCGACAAGGAGAAATATAAAAGGATATGGTAAGAAAAATTGGAACAAAACAAATAGCTCTTTCAAAGATCCAGCAGAAGCATTAAGGCCCAAATGGCCTCCTTATGTGCTGTAAATTTTTATGGTTCCAGCTGGGGCCACTGAATAGTAATCAAGAGCTGATTTTTCCATTCCCTAACTCAGGTCAACTGCATCAATAATGGCTATCTGACGAGTTCAACTAACAGACCAGGATTAAGTGAGATCTTCCCAGACTTTATAGTTCAGTTTCATTGTCTTTATACCTCAAGGAACTCAAACAGCTCAATCCACACTGTGATTACAAACTTTTTTGGAGTTGTTTTGATTAGATTTTTGGCAGATTGGATTACTGCTGACAGAAAGATAAAACGCTTAGGAGAATTTCCAGATGCATAATAGTAGCAAGTCCACAGGACCAATGTAAAAGACTCAAAGTTCTTAAAGGGATACTTTCCTAAAAAGTTCCTCTCACCAATTTGTATGAGTCTACTCATTTGTACGCAGTAGTAGGATAAATGAGGAAATGTGAATACCTCTAAATCAAGGAGGAAGAAAAGGAGAGGCTTGTATCAGTTCCAAGCACATTAGTTCTTTCTTAAAGGTAACTATTGCTATTCTACCACCCTCTTTCCTTGGATAAAATATTGATCCACACAGTTTTAAAGATTCAGAATGTAACAATTGTTGACACTGAAATAAGTATCACTCACCACAATAAACATCTCAACCAAAAATTATTTTAAAACCTACTGGAATCATAGAATCTTGTAGCACAGAAGAAGGCCATTCAGTCCACCGTGCCTGTGCTGTTGAAAGAGCTATTCAACTAGTCCCGCCCCTGTCTGTATCTCACAACAAAAGCAGCCAAAATCCTTGTCCATACCTTCGTCACTTCCCGACTGGACTATTCCAATGTCCTCCTCTTTGGTCCGCCATACACAAAATTTAGCTAATTCAAAACTTGGATTTGATACTCACCTGCACAAAACTCTGTACCCCATCACACCAGTCCTTTTCAGGCTCCACTGGTTTCCAGTTACCGAACCGATCGACTTCACTCGGATCCTCTTACTCGTTTTCAAATCCCTTCATGCCCTCGCATCTCCCTACCTATCTGATTTGCTTATCCCCCACTCCACCATCCGCTGCCTCTGCTCAGCTGGCTCCGGCCTCCTGTTTGTCCCTCGGCCCCTCCGTTCCACCATCGGTGGCCGTGCCTTCAGCCACTATGCCTAGTAACTCTGGAACTTTCTCTCCGCCTGGCCCCCTCCCTCCTCATTTTCAAATCCCACCAAAAGACCTTCCTTTTTTTTGATCGTGCTTACGCTCACCTCCCCCTCCCTCTCCCCCTGGTTTGGGGTAAGATTACGGGACGCTACCCCACGTGAAGGGAAAATAACGAAACCCCTTTAATCAAATCTTGTTTACCGGTCAGGAGATTGCTGTTTTTTCGGAAATCCAGGAGGAAGGGCAGGGCCAAAAAATCCATCGTCTTCATCTTTTTCTTGTTCCTGGGGAATGACCGTCTGTTTGCCTCTTGGGAAAAATGTCAAAAATCAACACTGGTGTAATAAAGGATCTTTACAGTTTAGATTCAGAGGGCAGAATAAACATTATGAAGAGTACAGCGCATCTTCTTTCAAATATGTACTGGCTCTCAGTAATTTCAGTTTCATAGATCATTATTTTCATGAAGCATTGAACAAATAAAATACGAGATCCATGACCTCAATTAATTCCTTTCCCGTTTATACCTACTGGAGCTCTGAACACTTACAGTATTCATTTTCTAAATACTCCAAACCCAAAATAAAAACCAGTTGCCAAGAATTACCATACAAGGACCAGGATTCTTGTAGACTTTTGATATACCTGTACCTCACCCCCACATAATCACTCACTCTCCAACAGAATCTAGTTTGACCCTTCACAAAATGTATTTATTTATTGCCGAACAATTTTCTCTTTGTTTTAATGGGAAGAGCCCAATCTCTACTGCATTGCCTTTGGACACTCGGGACTGAGAACATAAACTCTTCACATAGTGGTGACAGAATGATACAAGTTTATGTGTTAACTAACTACCGCAGCCGGTTGGCTTCTAAGAACTTAAGAGGCGAAAGGCAGTACTTAAATTAAAACCACAAACCAAACCACTTCAAGACTGGGTCACACTTTTAATTGAAAATTTAGACTGACCTTCATTGTCTACCTGCAGTTTTTTGGCAAACAGTAGTTAATTATAAACAAGTACACAGAGTGCACCTGAGTAGGTGACCCAATAGCTCTCACTAACCTGGGTTTGGATTTGTCACTATTCTCCTTCTCGATAACCTGTTTACTTGATTTCATTAAGTCGGAGGCCAAAGCAGGACCGGTTTCCCTCTTCTCGTGGGTGCATCGGACACCTTCTTCATCACTGTCTGAACTTTCAGAACTCTTACGTGACCTAAATCCTGGAGGCAACGCAGGTCCTGCAACTACATATAGTCTTGCATCAGACAATTCTGTCACATTCAAAGGTTAAAATACATATTCTGGTGATGACTACTGTTTTCTTTGATCTGTAAACTTAAAAATTATTCATAGCAGACACACACACACACACATTGCTTGTCACTGGTTTTGCCAGAACCACTCAATTAGGAACTCCGGTTTACTCCAGAATATATGAGGGATACTGCAAAAGTAATGCCTCCTTCCTATTTTCTCAAAATTCTTTAATTGTTAACTTACAAAACTTAACATAGACACAAAAAGGCTTTTTTTTTNAAACACACCAATGCAGTTATTTTTCCCACAAAGTTTGACACAGCAAGAGATGAATCAAACACTTTCCCTATGCCTTGGCAAATTCTATCATATCTGTGGAGTACAAGGAGCAAGTATCAGGTGAACATTAAAGATCCCATGAGTGTCAAAACAATGCACAGTTTTTTTCCCAGTGTCCCAGCCAACAATCTCCCAGATAAAATTGGTCATTCTTTTCATAGCTGTACATAGGGAATTGTTGAGCACAAATTGGCTGCCACATTCACCTACAAAATACATAGTCAATGCACTTTACAGTAAATCCTGAGGAGCAATATCAAATGCAAGTATTATTATTAAATGCTATTCTTATTTTTATTTAAATGTAGTATCTTGGATTTATGTGAACTTCATTTGCCAGTCATCAACATAGTTAGAAGTAAGCCAGCAGGAAACATTCTCATTACAGGGTTGGCAGGGACAGGAGAGAAATGGGGGCAGCAGAGGAAAATTAAATTGTGTAGAGCAAGCTGTATAGACTGCCAAATGTTAAACTACAGTTATGGAAGATGTATATGTACAGACAGAATATTGTTGAGAGATGAATCTGTGAATGCTGGCAAGCTCCTGTTCCTTTTCATTCTACATATATTAGCTCAGTGAATAACAGGCAATCCTGTCCTCAACAGACATTGACCTTGAGCGCTTTACACATGACCCACCAGACACTGATCATGAACAGGTTAACCTTGCTGATTCTTTCCCCTCTATCCTTCTGTCTCCAGGATGATGAGGCTAATTCAGTGCCCTCAATTGCTGCTCTGTCTTAGGTCAGCTGATCTCCCAGCTCTCGATTTCCAGATGCAGCTTCACTTTGTGAGATAAGGTTTCTGCAGTCTCAATGTCTATATGAATCAATCATACATGGATTATGGGATTATCAATCAATAGCACAGCCTAGCTCTTAACCCTATTTACATTCCAAAGGCAACAGCATTTATGGAAATAAACAAGAACCTTTGACTGTGCTAAATGGAAAATACCTCCTTTTTTTAAGTCAGAAAGACAGGTTCTGTGCTGCCCTCTAAACGACAGAAAGACAGGTTCTGTACTGTCCATTGCCCAAAGAGAAGCAGCTCAAAGTTCAATACAATTTGAAAACTGCCAGGGAGAACACTGTATTGCGGTAAATGTATACTCTCCCAAAATAGATGTCCAACACAGATCTGGATCACTTCTTAACTTCTCAGTGGCAACTGGCCAGTCAATGCAAACAGTCAAAAAAAATACAGCTGATGAGATCAGGTTTCAGCTCAATTACATGTGCAAGAATAATGCCCCTGCATTTTGTGTTCAGCTGGGTGGTGAATGTATGGTACTCACTACCCCAAAGGGCTGTTGACGCTCAGTTCTTGAACATATTCAAGACTGAGATAGATAGATTTCTTATTGCAAAAGGGATTAAGGGATATGGGGATAAGGCAGGGTCAGGTTATTAGCTGGAGTTAGGTTAGAAGATCAGCCATGATTGAATGGCGGGGCAGGCTTGAAGGGCCGAATGGCCTACTCCTGCTCTTACATGTTATGTTATATTATGGGTGTCTGACACAAGTAGAAACTCATCACCATGCTTAAGATTATCCAAACCAAACTGAAACCATGCATCCCACCTACACACGTGGAAATTCCAGAGATGTTTATTGGCAATGGAATGCACACTCTCTCCCTGGAGGGACTCATCCTGGTTTACCCAATTCCGGAAAGCATTAGGCGCAGATTAGCGAGCGACAAGGCATAGGGACTCCAGAGTGGGCATTTGGATACTGCTGGAGTCCAAGCAGCTAAAACCGCAGAGCTTCCCATTGAACGCACTATCTGGTATGCTTTCCTGCTGCTTTTAGGTATGCAGTTTAGTCTTAAGGTATGGGTTAACAGGGTTAACAGGACCTGGGTGGGATGATTCCCTGCCCCCAGTGACTGGCCTGCCCTCCCAAGTCCTACAGATGATGAGCGAGGATGGCTGACCTACCATCAGCAGTGCCCATGGGAATGGCGTGGTGAGCAAGATTCAAATGCATTGGGTGCGGAGAGGAAGGTAAGATATAGATGGAGGGATAAAAGGAGAGAAGGGGCGGGAGAGAAGAGAGTGGAACTAAGGAGAGAGAGAGAGAGAGAGAGAGATGGGGCTGAGAGAGTGGAACCAGACAACGGAAGCACGTACCCGCTGTGTGGTCCGTGGGCTTCGAGCCCCGTCGCCGCTCACAGTCGTCTGCTGATCGCTGGCTCCTGACTGTCCTAAAGCCGGGAGGCAGCGCGGGACCCAGAGGGGCCTCCTCCTCCGACATGCCGCCTGCTGCTGCCCTCACCAGCCCTGCCCGGCCCGGCCCGGCCCTGCTCACCCTGACCAGCAGTGTCCAGCTCAGCCCAACACTGTGCCCAGCTCACCCTGACCAGCTGTGCCCAGCTCACCCTGACCAGCTCACCCTGACCAGCTGTGTCCAGCTCACCCTGACCAGCTCACCCTGACCAGCTCACCCTGACCAGCTGTGTCCAGCTCACCCTGACCAGCTCACCCTGACCAGCTCACCCTGACCAGCTGTGTCCAGCTCACCCTGACCAGCTCACCCTGACCAGCTGTGACCAGCTCACCCTGACCAGCTCACCCTGACCAGCTGTGTCCAGCTCACCCTGACCAGCTCACCCTGACCAGCTCACCCTGACCAGCTGTGTCCAGCTCACCCTGACCAGCTCATCCTGACCAGCTCACCCTGACCAGCTCACCCTGACCAGCTCACCCTGACCAGCTGTGTCCAGCTCACCCTGACCAGCTCACCCTGACCAGCTCACCCTGACCAGCTCACCCTGACCAGCTCACCCTGACCAGCTCACCCTGACCAGCTCACCCTGACCAGCTCACCCTGACCAGCTCACCCTGACCAGCTCACCCTGACCAGCTGTGTCCAGCTCACCCTGACCAGCTCACCCTGACCAGCTCACCCTGACCAGCTCACCCTGACCAGCTCACCCTGACCAGCACTGTGCCCAGTGGAGCGCCTACCAGCCGCCGTCCCGTCAACTCAGGACCCGCCGCCTCCCCCGCAGGGCCGCCGACTGGGGACCTGACTGACTCTCCGCCGCGCACTAATGACGCGCGGCCACACAGCGCAGCGCCGGCGGCCGCCGCTCCTCATCGTCAGCTCCACACAGCGGGGACTTCACTCACATCACCGGGGGAGAGGGGGTCACAAAGCCCTACATTATATGGTTATCAATATCGGCGCATATTTTATTGTTTTTATAACTGTACAGAGAGAGAGAGATAAAAACTGTGGAGAGGTGAGTGACGTCAGTGACAGTCCAGCCCTGGGGGTGGGGCCTCCGCCCCGGGTCTGACGTGTAATCCAGGCGCCGCCACATGGTGTGCAGACAGCGCGGAGCCGGGACTGTGCTGTGAGGTCACTGTCTCTCTCTCATATATCGCTCTCTCTGTCTGTGTCTCTCTGTGTGTCTGTCTGTCTGTGTCTGTCTGTCTGTGTCTCTGTCTGTCTGTGTCTCTCTGTCTGTCTGTGTCTCTCTGTCTGTCTGTGTCTCTGTCTGTCTGTGTCTCTCTCTGTCTGTCTGTCTCTGTCTGTTTGTGTCTCTCTGTCTGTCTGTGTCTCTCTGTCTGTCTGTGTCTCTCTGTCTGTCTGTGTGTCTCTCTGTCTCTCTGTCTGTCTGTCTCTCTCTGTGTGTCTGTCTGTGTCTGTCTGTCTGTCTGTGTCTCTGTGTCTGTCTGTCTCTCTGTGTCTGTCTGTCTGTCTGTCTGTCTCTCTCTGTGTCTGTCTGTGTCTGTCTGTCTGTGTCTCTCTGTCTGTCTGTGTCTCTCTGTGTGTCTGTCTGTGTCTCTGTGTCTGTCTGTGTCTCGGCCCCGGGATCCGTTACTGCGAAGCGCTCTGAGACGCCGTCCGGTGTGGAGGGCGCTATATAAATCCAAGTTGTTCTTGTCGTCTCTCTCTGTGTGTCTGTCTCTCTCTCTCCTCGCACAGCATCGCAGAATGAACCCGTTCGGACACTACCCTCCTCCTGTCTTCAGCAGCCCCAGCCCACTCCTGCGGCCGCCCGTGTTTATTCCGCCTCCGGCTTGGGGCCCGGGATACCAGCCCTGGGGTGTTGGTGGGGGTCTACCCTGGGACATGGGGCCAGCAGGGCTGGGCCTGGGCCAGGGGCTGGGGCAGGCAACGGAGCTACACCAGCCACCTGAGACACGCCAGCCAGCGCAGTGGCTCAACTCCTGTCAGGGTAACATTGGTTTATTCACACTGTATCAAATCTTCTGTTGGTTATGGAAGTGCTACAATATTATAATAATCCTTGCATTTGATATAGCGCTCTATCACGTCTTCGAGATGTCTCAAAGCGCTTAACAGAATATACTGTAAAGTGAATTGAAGTGTAGCCAAATCTAGTACTTAGGGCCCTCTTGGAACCAAAAATGTCATCAAGTCAGTACGAATCCAGGTCACACCTGGTGAATTAAATAGATAGCGCCTTATCACATCCTCCAGATGCCTCAAAATGCTTCCCAGGATTTACTGTTTAACGTAGTTTTGTGTAGGTGAACACGCAGGATAAGTTGTGTCTTGACATAAATTCAGTCTTGTGATTCCTGTTTCTTTTAAAAAAAGCAAGACCAAGGTTTGATTGGCTTAAAATATTCATGCCATTACTAGACCAGATAGCTTATTTTAGTTATTTTTGTGTCAGTATTTGTGTAATATTTACTATTTTTTTAAAAAAATGTCATAGATGAAAGATTAGGTCAAAGCGTTATAAAAGCAAGTCAGGCTGTAGAAAGGGAACACATTGTTTTTGGGTGACAGATTAATAGAAAATATATATTTTTTTACAATGTAGAGATCTATTTTAGGAATAAAATCTAAACATGATCAGATCCAGGTGAAATGGAAATTCCTCCATTGAATAGTCACGATCACTACCATTGGATGCAGCCTGGCTCTGGATAACACTCATTCAGAAAGTTTTGTGTTCAAGGCCCACACTAGGACTTCGTCTAGGGCTGACCTCTAGTAGAGCATCTTGTGAATGAGATGTTAAACTGAGGACTTCTGTATTAAAAATAACACCTTGAACTCTCATTCTCGGTGATACATTCAACTAACATGACTAACATGAGTGAATTGACTGCATATTATGTGGGTGAAACGCGGCAACCAGTTGAGCACAGCAGTGTCCCACAAACTGTCGTGGATTGAAGTAACCAATTTATTATTTTTTTNGAGGGATTATTATTAGGCGTGTGGAGTAAGGAAACTTGCCCAAGGTTTCACCCTGCTAGGAATCGAACCCAGGTCTCTCGCTTGCAAAGCAAGTGCTCTAACCACTGAACTTTAGGACTCTTCTTTATAACCTAAATTTGTTATAATAATAATCCTTCCAATTGATATAGCAACTTTTATCTTTGAGACATCTCAAGGCACTTCACAGAATATACTCTAAAGTGAATTGACTGTATATTTTGTGGGCTAAATTGTAATACAGGTAATTAAATGTAAATTTGTATTGTAATAAAGATTACAGCACTACATGCTCCCTTTGGAGCAGTCAATATGCAAGTGGGTAAGAGTACATATAGACATATAATAATTTATAGTAGTTTTAGGTTCAGATGTCCTAGTTAATAATATTACTTTACATTTTAAATTATGTAATTAGTCATTAGTTAAAACAGAAGGCTCGTTTAACTGTTGCAGTTAAAAGTCTTTTTAGCAACATGCTGTATATCTTTTGGATTAACCTGGTTAGTTATTGATTTGGATTAGTGCTTTACTCATTTTTATTCTTTGTGCACAACTGAAATTAGGTGACTGCAACCAGTTTAATCAAAAGCAGTCAAATCAGAATACTTCAGCCTGGTGGTCTAGAAACCCTAAACAAAATGGCTCCAAAAAGCGAAAGGTAATAGTGATGACTGACATTTACACTCTGATACACTTTTTCAAAGTGAAAGTTATTTATACAGTACTTTTATAAAGGTTTTTATCCTTGAGGCTAATATTAATCTATGCATCCATATTTCAAACGTGCTACAGCAGAATTTTGTACTTGTCCATTTCTACACTTTACGTGCCTTATTAAGTGCCTTTGGATGTCCTGACTTAAAACGTTCTATTGTAAATATAAATTTGTATTGTAATAAGGTAAATAGATGTATTTTGGGGGGTAACAAAGATTATAGCATGATATGCCTCCTCTGGAGCAGTCCCTGGGGCTTATTAGATTTGAGTAGTATATGGGAAACATAATTGACCAAAGCAAAAGTTTGCAGCACCTTCTAGTGGTCAGTTCAATAGGAACATTAGCAGGAGTTTGGGCACAAAACATGTAGAGAAACTAAATTAAAATAGAAGCCCAGAAAGTAAAGCAAAACATATTCTTTAATATTGGCTTTGGGTATCATGTTTAAAGATTTAAGTGTAACATATAGCATGTTTAAAGAGACAACATCAGCAACTTGCTCTTATATAGTGGCCTCCACGCAGGGTAGTGTCTCAGAGCGCTCAGAATGTATCCTCCCCACAAATAAATGTGTGAAGTCAGTCCTACAAGGTACTACTATTGCAATTGCTCCATTGGTTGGATCCTGGAATATCTCTTTGACGTAGACATATCTTAACACCAATTTGCACACATGGTTTCCTCTATTTCCTCCCACAATCCGTCCCCTCGCACCCAAGCATCTTCGGAATGATTACCTTCAATTCTCTTCCAGCCACTGCCTCCTTCACCTGTAGTCTCATCAGTCTTTATGCCCTGTGTGTCTCTGAGCCTAAATTCACAGCACATCAGTTGGTGGGATTTAGAATTCATTGCTTTCCACGTCTTCCATGTTCATTGAAAGTGAAGTAATGGTGTGAGCAATTGAGGCTATGGTAACAGTCACAGAGGAAATTAAATGGCTGTAATATAACTTAAAACTCAACAATTGCACCTTTTGAAATCAGTTAATTAATTATTAAGTAGGGGGGGAGGGAAGGCTACGTCTGAAAGCTGCTCTGCGCGGAGGTTTATTAGGATGTTCTTGAGAGTAGACCTCAAGCTGATACAATCTAGACTTGAGACTATTTATACAAAGTTGGTGAATTGCGCTTATTGAGATTGATGACTTGATGAAAAACAACAGGCAAAAACTGAGTTAATTGAGCAAAGCTTGAAGGTGATGGTCTTTTTTGTATTGCTTTTCAATAGCAAAGAAAGAGAAAGGAACCAGTATTCGCACTTTTTTGCGACACTTGTGATCGGGGGTTTAAAGTGCAAGACAAATATGATGAACACATCTCGCAGCATACCAAGGTAAGAATGCAACATTTATAAACTTACTAGCAAACATACTGTTCAAGTGTCTACAAAAGCCTGGTTTTGTCACTTTCAAGGCATTTTCAAGATAATTGCTGACACTTTTAACGACTGATTTTCTAAACACAAACAGCAGATATTTGTGCTAATAAGGTCCCTTAACAGTCATGAGACAAATGGCCAATTCATCGATCCACAAGATTCATAAAGTGAATGGTAGATTTGCACACTGTTGTTTTCTAGCAAACTTTAATATTTTCAACATACTCTGGGGAAGGGGAACAGTTACATTTCAGACTTATCCTACAATAGTTCCTGTGAGTGACAGTCAATAGTTCTATTTTAAATAAAGTAAAAATGCAGGCTTCAGTTAATTCCTGCTTAATATGCAGCGCGCTCCAGTATCCAGTTTCCAATGTTACTTCTTTATTATCATTATACATCCACACAATGAAAAATGGTGTTCCACTGACTGAGAAAAGCTGTTGGCAACTGAATGGACTTTACACTTAATTTTGTTACTTCATTTTGTTACCATCGAATCAAAACTTGTTACCGCTAAGCAGTTCCATGCCAGAATGTTTGGTGGGAGAAAATAAGTGGTGACTGCAACATTCCCTCTTGAGTTTTTCTTTGTTGCTTTCACTCTCATGCATTCTCCATTTGTTGTAATTTTTTTAAAAAAACTCACGTTAACCTTAACCTTCGCATGTAGTTAGTTGCTCATTGAAAAGTTTCTTTTCCACTATCTGTTGCAGCATTATTATAAGGACCAGAAGATCACAGGTTTAACAGCTGGTCTGAGCCGATCTGAGCATGGCAGCAGTTAGGGTGTTCAGATGCCATGTGTGTCTAGGGTATTCCGATTTGCTTCCGTGCCCCCAGGTTGGGGAAGATCAGTCAGGGCTTTCAAATTGCTATTCAACGCCCCTACTGGAAAAAATGCATTTATGTCGATCTCGGATGAGAATTAGATTGGCTGTGATGCCCTCTACAGTTCAGCAGCATGCTAATACTTGTCATCTGTATTTTGTTTGCTATTCCAGGGGTAATCCCTTAAAAAAATAATAATAATTTGGCCATTCAATCCACAACTGTTTGTGGGACACTGCTGTGTGAAATTGGCTGCTGGATCTTGCCCACAATATATGCAGTCAATTCACATTACACATTATCTTCTGTGAAGGGCTTTGAGACATCTCGAAGATGTGATAAGGCACTATGTCAAATCCAAAGATTATTATTATCTGGGTGGAAACACACAATACAATAAAAATTTGCATTTATATATTGACATTCTGTTCATCTGTCTCCTCGTCCTCCTTGACCTCTCTGCTGGCTTTGACACTGTGGTCCACTCTATCCTCCTTCACCTTAACCTTCAAGGTTCTGTCCTTGAATGGTTCAGATCCTATCTCTCGCACCGGCTCCACTTTGCCTCCACAAATGGCTTCTCCTCCAGCCCCCGCACCGTCTCGTGCGGTGTTCCTCAGGACTCACTCCTCAGTCCTCTCTTCAACCTGTACATGCTCCCTCTAGGTAACATCATCCGCAGATATGGGGTCACACAACTTTAGCTCTCTGCCTCCACCCTTGAATCCAGGACCACTGATGTCCTGACAGACTGCCTGTCAGACATCAAGCCCTGGATCAGAGCCAACTTTCTACAGTTGAACGTCAGCAAGACCGAAGGCTTTCCTGATTGGATCGTGCCAGCGCCTCTGCACCTCAGGCACTGGCAGCGTCAGCATCCACAGATACACACTCCACCTCACCAAGCCAGTCAGGAACGAGGCATCTTGGTCGACCCTCAAATGTCCTTTCTCCCCCACATCTGTGCCATGATCTACTCTACCTTCCCCCACCTCCACAACATTGACTCTGCCACTGCTTCAACCTTCAGGCCGCCGAAACCCTCATACATGCTTTCATTACAACCAGGCTCGACTAAGCCAATGCCCTGTTTGTCGGCCTTCCCCATTCTTCCCTCCATAAGCTGCAGATCATCCAGAACTCTGCAGTTCGTACCCTTTTCTGCACCAGGCTCCGTGACCTCATCACGCCCACCCTCGCCCGGTTCCGCTGGCTCCCCATCCCTCAGAGGATCGAGTTCAAAATTCTCAACCTGAACTTCAAGGCCCTCCATCGGCTTGCCCCTTCCTACTTCTCCGACCTGCTAATGCCTTATCAGCCTGTGCCCCCCCCACCTGCTCGGGTCCTAATCCGTGACTGTTCAGTGCCTTGGGACATTCGACCGACCGACATGAAAGGCACTTTACAAATGTAATTTTGTATTGTATTGTATAGCGCCTTTCACTAAGGGAGCACGTCCCAAGGCACTTGACAGTCCTAGCTTAAGTGGGAGCTGAGGAGGGTGGTGGGGGGTAAAGGAAGATAACCAAAGGCACAGTCAAAAAGGAAGATCTTGAAACAGGAGTGGGAGGAAGCACGTCTGAGGGATTCCCGGATGGAGTTTCAGAGAGTGGGGGTCAATAGGAATTTAACAACAACAATAGGATTACATTTGTATAGCGCCTTTCACGTCGGGAGGACAGCCCAAGGCGCTGGACAGAGTACAGCATTTCAGACCCGAGCTGGGGTCAGGGGGGAAGGAAGGGGAGGGAAAGGGGGGTGGCCGATGGCATGGTTGAAGAGGAGGGTCTTGAGGCAGGACTTGTAGGAGGCTAAGGAAGGGGCGAGGCGGAGTGACTGAGGGATGCAATTCCAGAGGTTGAGGGCAGAGAGGCTGAAGGCTCTCCTGCCAATGGTGGGGCGGGTGGGTTGGGGGACATAGAGCAGCCAGAGCCGGCTGAGCGGAAGGAGTGGGCGGGTTGGAATTTAACTATAAAAGATGAGTGTTTCCATTTGATTAAAGGTTCATCTTTCTATTTTGGGAAAGTTTCTTCAATGTTTTTCTGAGAAGGTAACTCAGATGGGGTTCTTGTCCAGCCTCACTGAAGTCCAAATTTTCTGTGCCAATTGTGACTAGCCATCTAATGTACCTGGTTTCAGGTCAAGATTATGGATTCCATGACACCATTTGAAATGAGTTATTGTCCAGGCCAATAATCCTCAATTAATTGGTTTCTCATCTTATTGCTGTTATGGGATCTCGCTGTTGCAAGTGACTGCCAAGTGTGTCACTATCTATAACTATTTATCTGAAGAGATTTGAGGTGCTTCAACACAGTCGGTGCAGTGAGAATGCAAGTTCTTTCTTTCTGTACATTTGTGTTTTTCAGCTTCCTGCTCTCTGTGTTGGTTTAGCCTCATAGCCTACTGATCTCTCTCTGTGACACTGCACGTCGCTGGTTCCTTCATGGAGAGAGTTGTGGATTAGATTGTGACCTTGTCCCTCCCACTGTTCAGCTGGTTAGAGGAAAACAAATTCCTTAAATTAAAAGTAGTTTTGTCTTGTATATGAGTCAGAATATGACTCGTTCGATTTGAAGATAAACAAATGGCAACAATTTTCCAGGACCAGACACATAGTGTGAGCTATTTATTCAGCACATCAAAGCATAAAAGCAAATTGAGTTAAATCGACCCACCTATTGTCAGCCAAAGTTAATTCAAAGTGTTTTAAAGCTTCACCGTTTAACTGATTTTGGTGAGTCTTAAACATAATTCTCCTGACAATCTAAATTTTATTTTGAAAGCAGATGTGTCAAGAGGTTGTTTTTGTGTAACTGCACGTGCTGGCCGTTTTGAGGGTTGTATGGCTAATTGTGAAATGTTCAAGGTGAAAAAGAAGGCTGTTGTCACACGAGGGTCTTGTCTCTAACCTAGATATCAGTATTTTTAAACTTTTCAGATGAAAAATTCTAGTTTAACTTTACTTTTTACTCTACTACACCTTGTGATTCCAGTCACAAACCACCACTTTGACAACACCAGAAAATTCAGAGTGTATTTCTACTGCATGGCCCAAAACCCCTAACCCTAATTTCTGTTCCTTCCTTTCGCTATCAACTGAGCCAGGTTGACACCTGTTCTTTTAGTTCCCATAATGCTTGTCTTGTGTTTTGAAATGATTGAACTTCATGACTGTGCTGTGTATTAGAGTGCATGTGTTATACAAACTATACAGATACTGGTTTGAATAAAATCCTGCCAAGCTTAGACCTCGGTACTGCATGTACTTGGGCATTGTTGTTTAATTACAGTAGGCTAGAATTCTAGTCTCAAGATGGTTAGCATTACTAATGCAAACCCCAATATTATCAATTAATGAGCCTGATACGTTGCATGGCATAGGATCAGCATACTTATGATGCTCACCTTCTCTCTTCACTCACCACCTAATCATGCCAATCACAAATTGGCTTTGGGAAATGAGAATCAGAGGGAGCTTTGGTGCAAGTTCAGTGCACAAGTGAGACTGATACCCTTAAAGGAGGCATACACAAGACCTATCAATCATTGGAAGCTTTGTTTGCCCATTAATTCTTTATAGGAACCTATATCATGATGTTCCGGGAAGTCTGAATAAGCGAGCGTTGTGGTTCACAGGTGTAAAAAGAGAGAGACATACACTCCCTTAGATCCATGTTTGGGACATGTCCGTTCTGTCTTGTTGCTAAATCCAAATGATGGTGGGCTCTTTAGTCGGCTGCCAGGCAACATCCAATAAACTTTGGTGATGAGAACAACATACCTGCACATTGGACTGCAATGTTCTGATGTAAACAGCTTGTGTGATCATGTGCTGTTTCCTGCCATCAGGACTCAGCTGGTTTGCGGACATTTGCAATTTCCTATAAATAATTGTGCTGAGCGTCCTCTGGATGACTTTTGTTTTATAAATAATGAACGAGCCTGGCTAATCTGGCAAATGGAACAGCAGAAGTACAAACACAAGATGGGTGAGATGAGAAGGTAGTGTTGTAGAACGCTGTGCTATCTGTTACTTAAAATTTGTAAAGAGGTTTTTGGTTTTATTTTGCCAATGTTCTTCCTGACTCGTGCTGGCTTTTGCAGACACTGGCAGCCCTCTGGTACTTCACCCAAGACCCCAGACAGTGAGTGTAGCAGGCTAATTACCATGGAGGGCAGCAGTATCAAGTCTGATCTTTTTTTGCCTGCAGTCTGCATACTTGCACTTTTCCTTCGCCCCCATATGTCATTTCACACCGCAGCCAATATAATAACCCCCCTACCCCCGGCCCATTTATTTATATGAAGGATGAATTGACACTGGTATTTTTTCCACTTAAGTTGATTCTGTCTTATAAGCCAAAGATACATTTAATGTAGTTTCAAATTATAGCTAAATCATGAGGAACCGGGAATCGAGCCTGGGGCCCACTTGTTCGTGTAGCTGAACTTGCCATTGAGGAATTCAGTTGAAAGTTAAATGTGCGGGTGTATCTCATACTGATCACTAATATTTGCGATCTTTCTGTTTTATGTTTATAATGAGAAATTCCAGCAGAAACGTAAGTAGATTCAGATCGTTTGAGCAAAAGATAACAAAGTTCCCCTGTCCCTAACTTATTTCATACCCACAGAGCCCAGGTAGTGCAGGGAAGGCGCATTGGCTGTCTGAGACATTTATGTGCACAAATTGCCGTATCCACATGTTACAAAATACAGTCACCACACTTTATAGTAAGTCCTTTGAAACTCTGAGATGTCCTTCTGGTGTGAAAGAAGCTATATCAAATGTAAGCAATATTATCTCTGATGTATGGCATTGCAATGGGATTATTCCTGGTGTATTCTACCACACCAGGATGTGAATCTTTTAACCACTAGGCTACTGGGTAGGTATATGAGTCTTCCTTAGGCTAAAGAGTGTTTGTTTTGAAAACAAAAAGTTTGGTATAAATACATAATTTGGGAGCTGTGGCTCACAGACAATTACCTGATTTGAGTTTTAAAATTAGTCTTTGAAAAGCTTTTAAAGAAGGTTAATGACATTAGAAACAAAACTAAGACCATCCAAATCTGTACTGTAAGCATACTGGACACATTATTAAAATAAAAGGAATACGACTTGTGTGTTCCAGTACATTAAATATATTGTTTCAGGACAAGTTTAAATTTTGGGAAGAGGTACTTAATCTTTGAGAGCCCTTAATTACAAGCTGTGGACTTTAGCATTGTGCAAATATTCTGCGTTGTAGTTCTGTTTCCCATGCTAGTTAGTGTCAGTGGGCTAAGAGCCGAATGGCTTTGTGCTACTAGCAGACAGTTTATTTGAAGTGTAAAAGTACTCGGTTCAGCTCAAAATATAATTGCATTCATGGCATTGATCCAAAGGCAGTTTAGTAAGATAGTTATGAATTGAAAATGATTGCAATTTTGCAAAAAGAAAGTTGCAGTACAAGTGCCTAAAATTGCCATTGAAAAATTGAGTTGGAAGGTAATGGGTGCATTTATCTCGTGCTGACCATAAATACGAGCAGTCTTTCTGTTTTATGTTTATAATGAGAAGTCCCATCAGCGGCGCAGGTAAACTCATAAGCTGTGCAGTACTGCAATTTCGTTAAAACAAGAGGAATCCTCCCCACTCCCTCTCTTGTCTGCAAGACCTTTTATTTGTATGAAGGATGAATTGACACTGGTAATTTTTTCCACTTAAGTTGATTCTATTTTGTAAGCAAAATACACATTTAATGTAGTTCAAAAATGTTTCAAGTCTGGTGTAATAAAAAGAAAAGGGGAAAAAAAACACTGATTAAGTGAAATAGTAAATGTGAGTGATGTGGGTGTTGTGCAACATTAAAGTAGACACTGATCCAAAGATTTTGTAGATGCTATTATGAGCAACTGGCAGATTATACGTTCAGTCTATTATTAAACTAGACTTTTCTGTCTGTCTTTTTCAGTGCAAAGTGGATGGATGTGACTTCAATGCTCATGAGAAGCTGGTTCAGATTCATTGGAAAAATGTAAGTGATGTACTTATTGAACTGAGCTGCGTGATTTGTGAAGGATAGAGAATGAATTGAGCGACATGCAATTGCTTTGATATGCAATGCTTTTCAAGGTATTGTGCATTTCCCTTTGACAGTAAATTGTATAAAACTGTTACAGAATTTAATATTTTGTTTAATTCTGTTTACAAATAGATGCATGCGCCGGGGGCAAAAAGAATTAAGCTTAATACTGACGACGAAATTGTCAAGTGGCGAGAGGAGAGAAAGAGGTGACTATTGATTCGACTTATTTAACCCGTTTGTATGAATGTATTTGTGTCTCTCTTTATAGTTTGCTAGAAAGGGTACAGTCTTATTTCCCACTTTTTTAAGTTTCCTGCAGAAAACTCTTTTGAATGTTGGTGTTGGTGAACACTTTCCGCTCCTTAAAGTGAGTGATGTTAGAAAGTGTTTCTATTTCTGTTATCCTCATGACTTCTCTAAGCAATGCTGCCAGTTCAATTTGTTGCAGGTTTGTACTAGGGGGTGGGGTGGGGGTGCCCACTGGAGCAGACATTGAGAGTGTCCAGATCATTTCACACAGGATCCTTACACCCAGCAGTCAAAGAAGACTTTGCCTTCAGTTTGGGCTACATTTGACTACAGGCTCTAGAAGTGAAAGGACAGTGCACTTAACTTGCTACACTATTCAGGCTTGCATAAATAAGAATTAAAATGCATCTGTTTTAAAAATCTTAGTGATATAAAATAGGCTTTGTAACTTGGGAACCACGGCATACTGCAGATGTCTGTGTTGTGTGGCCTAACAAGGTCACTATCTATGTCACTTAGTTTATTTTATGGCACTTTTGTATATTGTTTAACAATCACTCTAGTAGGTATAGGACCTGAGCCTTAGAAAATAGAAATACTAAGTATTAGCCTCATATCCCTGAGTGGCATTCACATTCTGGTTTCCAAGTTGTTCTAGGTTCAGGTGTCTTGCTGATAATGAACCAGAAAAAGACCTTTGCCTCTTGGGGTGTCAACCAAGGAGCAGGGTTGGACATGTCTGGAGGCGGTGCTGCCGTTGCCCTCTGATTGCAGGGGACAAAAGTTCAGGGATGGAAAAANGTAGACAAAATTACCTCCAGTTAAGAAGAGTAATAACGAAAAGTATTTTAGAAAGATAACAAAGAAAAATGTCTTCTTGTTATGCAGTTACCTTTGATAGCACTAATTGCAGAGGTCATTGCCAGGTCAAAAGCATTTAAGTAGCAATAAGATTACAGAACGGTTTGTTTAAATTGTGTTGAACTTCACTGCCTTTCAACAGTTCAAGAGGTTAAATACGGGTAGTAATTGCTATCTGCATTGAAAACCTGTCTCCTATAAACGAAAATCTAAAATCTTCTTTGTTCCGTGTGTGTTATATATTTGAGCTCGTTGTGCTGCCTGGAATTAACATCCCTGGTCAATTATTGTTCACATGTTTTACTTGAGAGAACCAAACATTGACTATAAATGACAGGTTAAGTTGTACTTTTGAAGGACATTGCAAAGTAGACTCCCAACCCAGTGGTCCATCGTTCTGAAGTACTGTATTATAAAAAGATCTGTTGTTTTCCTTGTCTTTGCCCGCTACCTAGAAGAACTACTGCATTGCTTCTTATTGAATATCTCTTACGCATGTTTTAGTTGTAAAGAAATAAGTTAGATTTGTTGTGTAAAAACTCTTGATTTACATAATCTGCCAGCAGCAGCTTTCTTATATTGTATCCTTTGTTTCAAAAAATAAGAATGGATTTAATTATCTTAAACAAATCTACAGGGGTAACTTGTTAAGTACAGCAGTTGTGACAGTTTCTGGGAAATTCTCCAATTATCTCACTTCCTTAACTGTGAACCTGGTGGGAGACTGGACTAAGGAACATAGGAGAGGAACATCTCCTCTGCTTTGGGAGATGGCACGTTTCTTCTTATTCTAATATTATTATTATTATATTATCTTAGTGACCTGAGATAGATTGCATCCAGTTCAAATTAAGTTGACCTAAGCTGAATGTATACTTTGGGAAATTACACTGAGGGTTCACTAGTTCATATGCCGTGTAATATTAGATTATCAGCTTGATATATGGTGTGATCTTTGAAACAGAAAAGAGCAGGATAGTTTGTGCTTGGCTGGTGTGACTCACGTGAGCTCTGCTCTGGAAACCTGCTTTCAAAACCCTCCTTAAAAGCCTATCTGTCTGTCCAGCCTTTGATCAACACTTTTAATCCTTCTTCCCTCTGGGCTCAGTGAGATGCATCATCTTTGTAAAGCATTTCAGCTATTATCGTACATGAAAGGTGCTGTATAAGTTTTAAGTTGTTGTTGCTGCATGCATCCAAGTGTTGCAGGATTGATCAGTGTGCACTTTATATTATAATGGTTTTGTACTGTTGTAAAGCACATTGTAAGTATAACTATCCTACTGCCATTTGGAATAATAGGGCACCCTTCCTCAACCAGAAAATCTTGATGATCAAAGAGGATAGTTTTACTGCACACATAACTGTTTCATAGGTACTGGGCTCTTAAGTACACCTAACCAACCAACCTGCTCCTCCAGTTTATGCAACTCTTGCTAACCAGGCCTTTAATGGTGCTGGCAATTGTAATTGTGCATCTATGTAATCAATATTTGTTTTTATATTCAGAAACTTTCCAACTTTGGCAAACATAGAGAGAAAGTGGAGACAAGATCGAGAAAGGGAAGAGAGAGGGGAAGTACTTCAAACACAACAGTTTGGGTAGGTATCCACTGTTTGTAATTTTACTGCCACCAAAATAACTTCAAAATTCGAATTCAGAAATCAGCAGAATGCCCACTGTTGTATCTACCCACATGTAAATACAACAACGATAAAATTACATTTGTAAAGTGCCTTTCATGTCGGGAAGACATCCCGAGGCGCTGGATAGACAGAGTTATGGACCCGAGCTGGAGGTCGGGGAGTGTGGAGAGCAGGGGGAAAGCAGGGAGATCGAAAGCACGGTCGAAGAGGAGGGTCTTGGACGATTGGACTCTGGATTGGACTCTGCTGTAACTGACTTGGAGAAGTTAATTGCACACATATGTAGCTTTGCACTGAAACTTCCTTTTTTTATTTATTCGTAAAGAGATTAATACTCTAAAATATTTTTACAGGCACAGATAATAGGTACGCTTTCTTGCTTTTCAAATGATCCTGTGTACAATGAAATGAACATTTGTTCCATTTCCATTCCGCCTCGCCCCCTCCTTAGCCTCCTTCAAGTCCCACCTCAAGCCCCTCCTCTTCGACCATGCCATCGGCCACCCCCTTTCCCCTCCCCTCCCTTCCCCCCCAACCCCAGCTAGGGTCTGAAATGCTGTACATTGTCCAGCGCCTTGGGATGTGAAAGGCGCTGTACAAATGTAATCTTGTTGTTGTTGTTGCCACACAGCAGTGTCTGATTGTTGTTTTTGTTTGTCAGAAAAATGAAGCGGAAATGGAAAGGCCCACAATCGAAGGGTGAGGGAAAGTTTCAAAAGGGGAAACAAGAGCGTTTCAATCAAAAGTTCACTGGCAAGCAGAAAAAACTAAATGTAGCTGAACATGTCAGGCCCCCAAAGGCCAATGGGGTATGTGAAAAATCTCCAGATAACCAGGAAACCAACCACATCAAAGCCTACAGAAAAGACATGGACCCTCTGGCTGTATTGGCAGAAAGTGATCCAGGTAAAAGTTTGAAGCTTCTGGATTATATCCTATTATGTATTCTTTTTCCTACGTCCCAAATACAGAATTATATGTCATCTTCTTCCTCCTTTCATAAGAACATAAGAATTGCTGGATGAAAGAGGACCAAAATCCATCCACCTTCCACCATCCTGGCAATCACATGCACATGTTATAATAATAATAAATAATAATAATAATCCTTGAATTTGATACAGTGCTTTTCATGTGTTCTAGACATCTCAAAGCACTTCACAGAGTATACTGTAAAGTGTATTAACTGTATATTTGAGGGCGAAACTTGGCAGCCAATTGCGCACAGCAGTGTCCCACAAACAGTTGTGGATTGAAGTGACCAATTTATTGGGTTTTTTTCCTGAGGGATTATTATCAGGTGTGTGGAGTAAGGAAACTTGCCCAAGGTTTTGCCCTGCCGGGAATCAAACCCAAGTCTCTTGCTTGCGAGGTGAGTGCTCTAACCACTGAGCTACAGGACTCCACTTGTTATGTCTCAAACAAAACAATAAGTTGTGAATACATTTATTGTGTTGTGAAATAAATTCAAATTGCTGAGGAAGCTGGGCACAAATATTACTATTTATTTCACATTTAAAATAATATTTTTTTTGCAGCTTTCATTTCTGTGTTTAAATTGGATTTTTAGCCATTGTTAAAAGCTTATTGGAGGTTTTGAAAACAACTTTGGCCATGGCCACAAAATGTTCTCTTTCCAGTTTTTCTCTTTTTATTGCTATGTTAGAGCATGGTTTTGTGGGCTGAGTTTCCTGACCTTTGTTACCAATCAGTTGAATAATCTTTCACTATTTATCCTCAAAACCTTTCAGAACTTTTAAGACCATTTCAATCGCTTCTTAAACTTCTCTGTTCCAGTGAAAATAGTCCCAATTTTTCAGCCCATCTCCAGTATTATCACTAGTCATCCATCCATGTAAACCTTCACTGTAACCTTCCTGTAGCTCTAATGGCCTTTCCATAAAAAGATGGAAAATATCAAACTCGTGCAAGAGACTCAAAAGGGTCATTTGAGAATGGAGTTGAATCGTGTTGTGAGAAGTCATGTAGAGTGATTCTGTTATGTTGTATTTTCATTACCAAGCTGATTCAATTTATTATATACTCGCATATTAATGCCAATTTATGTACCTTTTGCCCCTTGCTGGGGACAGTCCGTTTGCCAATAGATACTTCTTTTGGATTAAATTTCCAAGTGCTGAAAGATTGCATTTCCCCTTGTAGAGTCTGACAAGGACGATGTTTGTGCTGGCACTGAGCACGAAGGACTCACTGTTGCTCCGAAGCAGATAACATCAGCCCTGGGATTGCTGGTGGCCAACTACGGCAGTTCATCAGATAGTGAAAGTGACCAGGCCCCAGATGGTAAGTCTGAATAAATGTGACTTCATAATTTTGAAGGAAACTGGAGTACATTAAATTAGAGAGTATTTGCTGCAGTTTTCCTGCATACGTGTTTCACTGGGATAGAATCTAGGTAAACCTCTTGCATTTTTTTTTATGGAGGAGCTGAGTGTTAAGAGTGTGGACTATGGCACAAAATAGCTCCTTGGGGAGCTCTGAAATGTTGTAAATAGATGATGGTTCTGACTAAAGCCCATGTAAAGTGCCTGAAATATGTTGGGTTTGTACTTGTGATTTAATCACAGGATTTGACAATTTTGAATTCCTCTGTGGCTTCACCTCAATTTTAATAAGTGGATTTATTTTCATTCATTAAATGTTGAGAATAGTTTTATTTTAACATGCAAAAAAAGATTTGTAGTTTACAAGCTCATGTATAATGAGATGAGAATTGCTTGAGGAGGACCCAGCTCAAAGCAAAATGTGGCCAGCGAGTAGTTAAATAAATTTTGTGTGGTTATGTTATTAATCCTCTGATTTAAATGTAAAAATAACAATATTTGCAACATTTTACCAGAAATTCCTCTCCGGCCCATTGTCGAGGCTTTAGAAGAAAACAAAGTCTTACTGGGATCTGGACCAAAATGGTCAAATGAGAAAGGAAAGGAAAATTCTCAAAACCGCACCATGGATTCAAGAGCCTTCAAAGGCAGGGGCTACAAGCGAGGTCCTAATGCACGAGGAAGACCTTTCTTGGGTCAGGGTCGATCGAAACGCCGGCCAACCCTACTAGAAATGGTGAGAGCCATTGTGTGAATGTACAGACAGACTTTATCTCTTGGGCATCCACAAGGATCCTGTGTAAAAATGTATTATATATGATTTACACTTAAAATTGTTAAGGATGACCAGCAGATTAAAACGTCAATTAGAGGACACAACAATAATATATTAGTATATAATAATATAAGGGGTGAGGTTTAATTGTTTAGATGGGTTTTGAAAGCAGAGAGGGAGAGGACACATTATCTGTGTTGTAGGCAAAGCTGCAGCAAATTGGAAGTGAGAGGTATTCAGCAACTTGGAGAGCAAGGACAGGTTGGAGATGGGGTGGTAACTGTTGTGGTTGTCTTGAGAAGGGCATAATGAAGATGGTTAATGGGACGTTTCCTAAGCAGATATTTTCCCTGATAGGGAAATGCCTTCCAACGTGCACTGTCAAGGCTAACACACGGATAGTGTCCACTGGGCAAGGGACTAGAGGAGGCCAGATTGAAATTCCAAATGTGGACCGAATAAAAGGATGTTAATATTGATCTTGTAATTAGTTCATTTTTAAATGAGATTATGATAGTAAGATTTGAACACTTGTAAATTGAAAATGTATAATAATACCCTTCTGTGCAATATATTCTGTTTGCAGTTATTGGCCCGTGACATACGACATGAAAGAAATGTTATCTTGCAGTGTGTTCGGTACATTGTACAAAATGACTTTTGGGGTCTTCAGTCAAAGAACACAGGATTGGGGGTGTCACCAGCTGCTTCATGTGGAGAAGAAATTGCAACATGTGCAAGTGCAGAATATGATGCGACGTGTAGGCTTGAGGTCCCTAAATCTGAAGAGAATGAGCAAGACCCTTTATTAACTGAAGTAAATGTAAGATTGTCCCCTGCAATAGATCTGCCTCAAGTAATGCAGAGTAAGAGTACTGTACCTGTTGTAGATGATGATATTTGGGAAATACCAGCTTTGCAGTGCGAAGAGAGATGATCAACTGAACTCGTATAGATTTATATGGTCAGAAGACATGACAGAAACTTTGTTTATCTGTAAATCTATACAGTTTATTTTTCCCCCCTCCATTTTCTGAAGGCACTGACTTGTGCTGAGGTACAGCTCCACCCGAAGGTGCCAATCAGCCTCTGCTACTTCACCCAAGTGGTTCTTAATTGTGTGAGACTTGATGGTGTGTGTCTGCAATATTTGACTGTGAGGAGCGTCATAGCCCTGCCCTATGGTGGGAATCTTGGCTCTTTTATTTCTGTCTCTAGCCTCTGGGCTTTGAAGCCTACTCGGTATCTCTCTTGCATGTCTGTCTGAGACCAACAAATTTGGAGCAACCCATGGATTAAACTGGGACCTTCCAGTTCTGAAGGGCTCAGTTATACTCCAGACAGTGACTTCATCAACCTGTAGGAGTGTTTTATTCTTATTTTAAATTGAATTATTGTATCAAGATGTTTCTCATTGAAATAAAACTGGACAAATAATTGAAAGATAATTGTTGGAAATTGACCGTAATCTGTGGTACCAATTTTACAGACTATGTAAATAAATTGATCATTCAGAATTAGGTCTCCATTCTTAGGACTTGGCTGATTTAAAAAAAAAAAAGATTTGTTAGGTTAACTGCGTATGTTGGAATGTGAAATTAATGCCCAGCATCTTATACTATCAAATCTCAATACTGCAAAATCTGTTTTTTAAAAAAAAGGTAGCAAGTATCTTACCAGCCTTTCTCTTCAATTTTACGAGCAGATATTTACAAGTCAGGTGTTACTCTTAAGAAAATGAATCTAGTTTTGGGGTATTGCTCTTCAAACCCGAGTGTCAAAATGAACAAATCCCACTTGCTATGTGAACCTTCCCCAAAATTATGTGAAGAGAGTGCCTAGGGCATTGGATTCATCTGGTGGCTTCATCAGGGCATGAGCTCATTTAGGGTAAGGGAAGTTAGCATTATAAACTTTTTTTCACAAAACAAAATTTGAAGTGTTGCATGTTCGGATGAGACGTCAACTTGGGGTCAATGTCTCCAGTAACAAAATACAGTAAATCCACTTGGCAGTATATCCTATGAAGTGCTTTGAGATGTCTCGACGACGTGTTAAGGCATTTATATTAAATGCAAAGGTTATTATTGTGGAATTATCCTTGGTTAGAACAATACGCTGCTCACGAGCCTGTGTCCCAGTGAAATTTTAAATTACTTGCAAAGTGCTGACCAGATAGTTGGCTTTCTTTAGTAATTACAATGACTGCTAGTGCTGTAGGCTGCCAGAATTTGTTTTCAATCTTTTATAAAATGTATCATTTACCCTATTATAGCTGACAAGGCATCCTTTACCAGTGTAAGACAATGTCCCGAAAATTACAGAGGAATGTTCAAGATCGTAACAGACCATTAATAATAATAATAATAATAATCCTTGCATTTGATATAGCGCTTTTCACGTCGGGAGGACGTCCCAAAGCGCTTCACAGAACACACTGTAAAGTGAATTGACTGTATATTTGTGGGCGAACGCGGCAGCCAATTGCGCACAGCAATGTGCCACAAACAGTCGTAGATTGAAAATGACCAATTTATTATTGTTTTTGGTTTTGGAGGGATTATTATTAGGCTCTGTGTGGAGTAAGGAAACTTGCCCAAGGTTTCGCCCTCTGCCTGGAATTGAACTCAGGTCTCTCACTTGCAAAGCGAGTGCTCTGACCACTGAGCTACAGGACTCCACTTGGAGTCCTCCATTGGCCATACTCAAACAATACAAAAAACAATGTTATTCTAATGCAGCTCTTTTATTTTTCTGCCAACTAACTACTTAAATGGTGATTTGATTATTTGTTCTTAATGTATGAGGAATGTGTTAGCCTTACTGACTGATTCAAAGGATGCGTGAGATGGTTACCAATAGCAACAACCCAGAGTGCTGGACGCACCAGTAGTCTATATTGATGATTATTTCTGCTCTATTTTTGTAGGATGTTTTCCTCACTTCAAACTGATCTGACCATCTCTGCAGCAGTCGCAGCTTTGATGCAAAACCCTGAAGGATAGATACTAAAGCTGCAGTTTTGTTGTGAGGAATTGACCCATTTCTCAGCCAATTGAAATACATCTTCTTTCCTGAAAACGCACAACCAAGTGCTGATTATACCCAAATAATTGGCAACCATCCCTGAATCATCATCACTTTTAAATTTAAGTTGGAATTTAGGTGCAGAAAAGTCTCTCCCTGTAGCTCCAAAAGGTCTAATGAAACCACATGAAATAAAAAGATCACGCTGGAAAGCCACAGCAGGTTAATCTGAAGAGAAAAATAGATGAACATTTTGGGCACAATGTGGCTTCTGACAAAGGATCGTGTTACCTTATTTTTTTCAGGTGCTGATGGACAATCAATACGTTCCCAGCATTGCAGTATTGAAGTATAGAATCTGATCTTTACACACTTACAATGGGCAGTTTGCTTGTCCTTCAGTGGTATCAAGCCACTGTTGTCAAGAAATGTATGAAAGGACTGGACACTGACTGGCTGCAATCATAGGTAAATCAAAGACTATGTGACTTTAGGTGACCTAAAATCCTAATACAGTAAAACTCACATAAGTCATAGCAGTTGGGACTATAACATTTAACGGCAGTGTAACTCATCCATGTGTGTTTAATACTGAAGAAAACATTTGCTAAAATTTACATCACTCTTGGGAAGGTAGACAATACACATGCAGCGTGATTTTCATTGTGTTTTTATTTACTTTCAATTATTCCAAGACAGCAGAGTACATGGGCAGAGATTCAAGAATGTGAAAGTCAATTTTCAGATAAGTACTGGGAAGTATTAACACAGAGAGTAATGAATAGCTGGAATAGGTACCAGGGAATGTTGTTGAAATTCCTTGCTCCTGTAATAGGAAAACCTTAAAAGTTGGCATTCTGGAATTCCATATGAAGTTTCTTATTATATATTGGACTTGATTAGTTTATACCACAATTGTATGCAGCTTCACAAATTCTGGGAAATAAATTACTCAGTGAGGTTATCCCTTCAAAGAAAAATATTTTTAAAAAATAATAATTTGGTCACTCAATCTACAACTATTTGTGGGACTGCTGTGTTTCGCCCACAAAATAAACTTATCAATTCACTTTACAATATATTCTGTGAAGCTTTTGAGACGTCTCGAAGACGTGATAAGGTGCTATATCAAATGCAAGCATTATTATTTATTATGAAAATGAAGCACTATTTTCACGTGTATTTCTAATATTAGAAATCCATCAGCCGTTCTCTTCTGGTACAGTTTTAAACGCTTTTGTGCACAGTTTGACGGGAAGTAAAACTAATCAGAAACATTTTACTCACAATAACCTATTACACACAAGTGCACAAGTGTTAATAATTATATATGTTGCTAAAATATGGATCCCCTGCTTGCTCAGTATTTTTTATGACATGAGTCTTGGCCAAATATGCATCTGAATCAGGAATTTATTTGGGAAAATTGTTATTGATTCCAGACCAATGAAGACAATTCTTAGTCCCTTTTAGGTTTGATTTTTCATTACATGTGTCGGCTTGGCTTAGTCGCACCCTGATTCAAATCAGAAGGTTGTGGGTTCAAGACCCACCTTGGTTCTTGGGACTTGCATTGTCTATGCTGATACTCCAATGCATCATTGGGGGTGTGCTGCATTGTCAGAGGTGCCATCAGTCAAATCAGATGTTAAACTGAGTTTACACCTGCATGTTCAGGTGGACCCAAAAGATCCCATGGCACTATTTGAAAAGAGAAGGGAGTTTCTCCAGTGTACTGGGCAACAATCCCACAAATAATATTGGTCATTCATTTTATGGCTGTTTGTGGGACTTTGCTATGTGTGAATTGGCTGTGACATTCGCCCACAAAACATAATTACTGCCTACAGGAAATCCTGTGAAGCAATTTGAGAGATCCTCCCAACGTGAAATGTTGTATAACAAATGCAAAGTTATTATTACTTTTGCTTGAATAAGGTTTTCTAGGCTAAAGCAAACGGTGCAGTACTGACCGCACTTATGGCATGAGTGGAATGTGGAGCAGCATTCACACGACTGTTAAAGAGTTGGAGCTGGTGGAGTTCAGTGCAGATTTATACGGATGGCACACTCTTCACTGGGCTCCTTGCGCAGTTTCTATAATGTTTGTATTTGAATTTTGCATTTGGTCTGGTGGTGGAAAGTTAATGGATAGAGATCAAAAGATGACTTGCACTTCCACCAGAATTTTAGAAAGATCTCTATTGAGACATATCTTAACCTTCTCAGCACTAGTTATATAGTCTCAGCTTCCCAAGTCTTTCTTTTTTACTATTGCCACTCATCCTTGATAGCATACTATTGAATACACTCCACACATTTTTCATTTGCTTTTATATCTTTCCACAATAGCTGCCTTTATGAATAACTCTTTATGAGTCTTTATGAGTCTTTTGCTTCTGTCTTGCTACCTTTGTCTAGATTAAATATTTTTTCACTGAACTTTTAACAAAAAAAAATTTCAGTGTCTATATGGATGTCAAATGTTTATTTGGATTTTCCTCCAGAAATTTGCAGGGCTCTATTTTGTAATCTTTTTTATCTTACTGTTCCAAGTTGAAGGGTTAGAAACTCAGCTGATATTTTGCTACATTTCAGATTATTTTCAATTTGTCCCAGAAACTTTTCAGGAATATATCCTGTGCCTCTCTGCCAGAGATGCATATGGATTTGACATATTGTATTTGACATATGTGGTTGAGTGCATCATCCATACGTATCTGTCAGTCCTACTCTGCCAGAGTCAATTTTCATGCTTTGTACATTTAGATGTCTAGAAGATGTGATAAGGTGCTATACCAAATGCAAGGATTATTATTATTATTTGGAATGCTGGAACTGCGATTTGCAGATTTAATTAATTTTCTAAATAAAGATTTGAGGTGGACACAGTTAAAGATTGAAAGTGACTTTAATAATCCATTCAAGCTTCACGTTAACAAATTTGAGTGTCACCTTAAGTCCTTAATGTATTAAAACTTCTCTTGGAATGTACTCCAGCCCACGTGCTGCCTTACCTATGAAGGTATCTATCTGATATTGTTAGCTATGATTTTGCCAGGATTATTTAGAAGCTCGTATTCATGCCTCTCGGTGAAAAGGTTGTGGGGTCAAGGATTGTGTTACAACTTGAGTTCATAGTACCAAACTCACACTCCAGTGAAGTGTTGGGTGAAAGCTGCATTGTTGGAGGTGCTGTCTTCTATTATACTAATAAAACGACACTGTCTGTCTGTCTGTCTGTCTGTCTGTGTGTGTGTGTGTGTGTGTCAGTTTATCTGACAATCACACAATAACCGATTGATGTAGAGACATGATTTATACCTCATTGGAAAGGTCTTGCATCTGGCAGTGTCATTGGCATTTTTCTGATGAGGGGAATCTCTATTGTTGATGAGCTACATTAAAAATCAAGCCGCAAAATATGAGGTATCCTAAACCATGTTTCTACGTTAATTGAGTGTGACATTATGTCCATTGTGATATACAG